AACTGTTTTAACAACTGACAAAAGCCTGATAAAGCATTTATCATACTGCATAAAGGGGATAAGAAACACTCAAAACTTCAAAAATCATTGCTTCACGATTAGCACGTTTATATTTTCAAATGAAAACGTTTACGGAGGAACCAATACAACGGTTATAATGCCAAATGTTACTCAAAATTGTAACCACATGTTTGGAGAACAATATTTGTACACTAGTTGTGCAGAAAAGTGTGTCAACTCTTCCTGTCCACTGAGAAATATTCCTAGATATGAGGCGTGTCCAGGACAATATCATAAAAGAATAGGGACGATAGCCAATAACGAATTCCTAACATTTGTCACGAAATCATATGGAAATATTTATACGAATAGATATTTCGTCTGTGACAATAATATCACTTGCATTGATTATTCCCAAGTATGCAATCTCATCGATGATTGCGGGGATGGTTCGGATGAAGACAGCTGCACAAACAATTTCAAATGTAACGGTAGCTACATACCGGTGACAAAGAAATGTGACGGATCATTTGACTGCCTGGATTTAACAGACGAATGCAATAATCAGTGTTCTAGAGAAATTCTAGAAGGGAATGCTCTCAAATTTTCATCATGGATTATAGGATTTCTAGCCGTCCTGGCTAATTTTATCATCATATCCAAAAATACTGGAACCTTAAAGAACTGTAGAACTACCGTAGCTCTGTTTAATAAGTCCCTCATCATGATGATATCGTTTGGAGACCTTTTTGTTGGTATCTACTTATTGGTCATATCAATTTATGATGGTGTAATCTTCAAGGAAGAATATTGTACCCAACAGATCGGATGGATTACCAGCATCCAATGTTCAACTATTGGAGTTCTTAGCACCATAGGATCTCAAGTCTCGCTTTTTGCTATGTGTGCATTGAGCCTCACCCGAATTTACGGAATACACAACTCCATGAGAATTCCGGGAGAAGTTACATTGGTAAAATCACTCCAAGTTGCAGGAGGTGTTTTAATGATGACGTTGGCGTCCATTGTCATTGCTGTAATCCCAATTATTTCCAAATTCGAGGATTTCTTTGTCAATGGAGTGAAGTATGCAGAAGAGATAAAGGTATTTATTGGAACAATGAACAAGCAGACACTATTTGCCGTCTTTCAAGGATACTTTGGTAGAATGAAGGAAACAACACTAAGCTGGCGTATGATCAACAAAATGATGTCCGAGATGTATTCTCACGATAATGGTTATGAAGACTACACAAAAAACATCCAAAAGGTGGATTTCTATGGAAACGATGGTGTTTGCCTCTTCAAATATTTTGTCAAAGAAAATGATCCGCAGAGGCACTTGGTATGGGCAATTCTTGCCCTGAACTTTTTGTGCTTCTTTTTCATTACAGCCTCATACTTGATCATTGGCATCATATCTCGCAAATCTTCTAAAAGTTTGACACAGTCAGGAGGGAACCAACAGATTTCACAACGCAATAGGAAAATGAACTTAAGAATCGCCATCATTATCACTACAGATTTCCTTTGCTGGGTACCCTTCATAGTGATATGTGTTCTACATTCCCTTGAGGTTCTAGATGCAACACCATGGTATGGCCTGTTTTCCATGATTGTTTTACCGATCAACTCCGTCATAAACCCACTAATCTATGATAAAACTGTAACAAACCTTATAAGCTTACCTATCCAAAGACTCGGAACCCTAATCACTGGTTCAAGAATTTACCGAGAGTTAAGGCTAAGATTACAACGATCATCACCAGTTGAGACCATTGAGATGGATTGTGTGGCAGTACAAGACGGAGAAGTTCCAGGCACAGCAGAGATGACTGAAGTACGAGATAAACAAAGAAATGATTAGCTGAGACAAAGAAGAGAGCTTCTGACGGCATTTCGAGAGATAAAGCAGTATAAAAACGATCACGTTAGATGATAACGCCAGAAATGAACGACTTAAATAATATGCAGCAAAAGTAGATGAGCAATGAAAGAAGGGGCAAATAAAACATGGGATACAATTATGAAGGGGAGTCAGTTTAACAGGACTACGTTGTCAACGTGAAAATTGATATTTGTAAAGTACATTAAGTACATTAAGTACATTAAGTACATTAAGTACATTAAGTACATTAAGTACATTAAGTACATTAAGTACATTAAGTACATTAAGTACATTAAGTACATTAAGTACATTAAGTACATTAAGTACATTAAGTACATTAAGTACATTAAGTACATTAAGTACATTAAGTACATTAAGTACATTAAGTACATTAAGTACATTAAGTACATTAAGTACATTAAGTACATTAAGTACATTAAGTACATTAAGTACATTAAGTACATTAAGTACATTAAGTACATTAAGTACATTAAGTACATTAAGTACATTAAGTAGATTAAGTACATTAAGTGCATTAAGTACATTAAGTACATTAAGTACATTAAGTACATTAAGTACATTAAGTACATTAAGTATACTAAGTACATTAATAACATTAAGTACATTAAGTATACTAAGTACATTAATAACATTAAGTATACTAAGTACATTATACGCTGATATTGATATGATATAGCTTCTATCACTTATCTTTACAAACTTATCTGTAATTATAGTAAAGTGATGATAGTAATGTTAAATTATGAGTGGTTTACGTAATAACTTATTCATACTATCAATCCAAAAAGCTGGCTCAATTCAGATCAAGCTCACACAATTTCAATATTGAGACAGGACGTCATGGAACCCACAAAAGAAACCAGATCGTACCTCGGATATGTAAAGCTTGCTCAACAGAGGACATGGACATGCTCGAAAATTTCGCAGAAATGCCATTCTTCGACCCCATCATCGAAGATGAGGTACACGTCCTTTGGACCTGCTCCCTGTATGAAGACTACCGACACCGCTTTAGTCAGAGAGCCAAAACCTGTCTTTTCGCTAACTTAGAGGGGCTATTCACAGATGCCAGCCTCATAAGAGAGACAGCGAGGTTCTTGGTGAGAGCAAACAACAGGCGTTTCCCGAAGAAGGAAGTCACTAAAAAGGATCTGCTGAAGTCCAGCTGTAAAGTCCCCTGCACATTATTTATTTATTTATTTCTATTATATTGATGTATAGTCAAGACGTGAGTGTTAGGGCTCTCATTGACAAATTTATGTTTAATCCTGTTTAATCCTGTTTAATCCTGTTTACTATCATACAAATTCCACAAACTTTGTTGTATAACTAATTGGAAGACCGTAGATCGCAAGGTTGATTTTGAATAAGATATTACTAGACACTAGTATCGTTATTATGTAATATATTAATATATTATGAATATAAAACAAAAAAAATGAAAACAAAAAAAAAGAAGACAATAAAAACATATTGTCTACATAACGGAAAATTTATGCATCTGAATCAAAATATTGATTATAATGCTATGTTATTTTAGATTAATAGAAGCCAACGGATGGGCTTGCAAGCTCCAGACAGTAGAAGTGGGAGCTCGAGGCATTTACAACTATAGCCTCCCAACCTTTATGAACCACCTGAACGTAAACAACAAAGAGAAGAAGAAGGCCTGCATGAAGATCGCTGAGATCAGCCTGAGGGCATCGTATACCATCTATTTGTCCAGAAACAATACCATATGGACAGATGATTGGGAGTTAGTCAAGAGACCAGTAATAGCATAGTAGGAGCGTAGAATGTTTGGGCCCAGAAAAACATGTTTAATACCGCTATGAACCCGTCATAAGCCGGGGACTACTATGAAAGTGATGATGCTGTGTTGTTGAAAGACCTTCGACCAATCAAAGATGTACCTCATCACGCCAAGCAGTTATGCTTGTAGGTGAATATACACTTATAGAGTACAACAACTTTATAACACTCCCCCACATTTATTATTGAATTATGCTGATATTTTAGTATCTAGAACATTAATAAAAGCACGACTTTTAACTGTTGTTTAAAATAATTATGTGACGTATTGACAAACGCGTTAGATTGGTTAAAAAATAAAAATTACAATTGTGCAGTGGTGACTGGTGAGAACAGTTCAGATTATCATTGAATAATTGGGCTCCAATATTAGCATGGATAAGTGCTAACCCCACACGTTTTAATGCTTTGTCGTATAACATTTTATTTCTGCAAATGAGCTTTGTGTCTAATTTATGGTTGAAACTGGATCAGGAAGAGCTATTTCAAAGTGAATTCAAATATTTTCAACGGGATTCTGTCAAGCAGAAGATCCTACAGCCCCTGGAGATCCTCAATTATCTTTAATTTCAAAAACGGTTAGCTGGAGGTCAACCATAGGATACTGTCAAGCAAAATATTCTACAACCATGTACAGGTACAGCGGAGGTATAAGACCCAACGTTTGCACACTGACTTTTGGCCCACCCTGTATAATAACGCTATTAGCCTGGGGTCCCCTGGTAACACGGCGACTGGAGTGGTAAGTCTAGCTCGGAGTTGTTAGTTGGATAATATCCGGTTGGAAGAGACAAGGACAAATGAAACAGGAAGTTAGGAATGTAGGCTGCTTCATTTGTCCTTGTCTCTTCCAACCGGATATTATCCAACTATCAGTATTCCAATCATGAGACTAATAAACAGCGAACTATTCCATCATTTGATTTGGTAGTAGTAATGGTATTTTTGTGGACAAATACAACACACAACATCTCGATAATATACTATTATTATAGTAAATAGTGTTCCTTCCTGCTTTTCTGGTAGTGTTCCTTCCCGGGCTTACACTTTGAAGTATAAACAGTGTCCCTCTTTCTTGGGGCGGCCAAATATTTCTGCTTTCCAGATGAATTGGATGAATCTCTAATTTAAGTTATTTCTTGTTTTTATTTTTTATACATAACAAAAAATAAAACAATATGTTTTGAATGCAGGAGTGATAAAAATTGTACAACAAAAATATCACTTCAGATCGTAGTCAAGTCTCAAATCAAATATCAACTTACTAAAAATTTAAAAATCAGTTCAGTCCATTTCCATAAAAATCTATTTCCATAATAAAAAACCTGTACATGTCCTTATACATGTGCCCTGCAATCTTGCGAGTAATCTACTTGAACTCAATAGTGACGTCTGTAGATGTGTCCACTCCTTGTTGATCAAACTCACATCTGTAGGTGCCGCTGTCTTCGGGGCTCGGGTTCTTGAGGATCATTTGGTAGGTTCCTGAAATAAACACAGGTTAAGATTTATACACTAATAATTACATTAATTGTACTAATTATTTAGGTAAAGATTTATAGTCCTGTTACTTATTGCATTGAATTATGGGTGGTATGTCAGAATAAACCCAGATTAAAAACAGTATAATATATAAAAAATTAACTTTTGGCAATCGATTTTTAGACTAACATTACAATATTTTACAAAATATTATTATTCAAGATAATATGATTAAAGGATAAAGTATCCAAAAAAATAACCTTTTCCTCGTTCGATACTGATAGTATCACTATCATCAAGAAGTTCATCACCGTCATCAGTTACTCTGTACCAGTTAATGTTATTTGGACTCTTAGGGTCTTTCAGTTTCAGCTGAGAATATATAAAATGTTAGCTTTCGTGGTATAATGATCAATACCTGAGTTTCAAATACGCGATTCAACTAAACGCTGGTCTGCACTCTGCTTGAAGCCTCTCGACGTGTATTCCTTGTCCACGACCAATGACGAAAATACGAGGATCCTGGGAGTCTCACCCTAATCACACTTACTGTTGCATTACTATCGGCGAAGTACCGCCGGCTCACAATTGACCTACTATACTTACTCGTGCTCTCCAAAAACTAGGCCTCCAAAATTAGTTTTGTCATTGAGTCATTGGGCCTTGTCGATATCAAAATCTACCATAACAAAGTAGTCGAGACATTTGACAATTTTACATCGTTAAACAGTAAACTTACGTTGTCAATATCAACGTCACACTTGATAGCCAGAGGTTGTCCAGACTTCTGCTTTTTAGACAGTTGTTTAGCATTGGCAATGTTCAGTTTCACAGATCCCTCTGAAAAAGAAAAAATATGTTAAAAAGTAAGTTTTTTAATCTTTTCCGTCCTGGATTACAGAGAGGAAACGTACTTTTGGTAATCAATGTTCTTTATAGAATCAGGAACAAGTAGTTTTGTATCAGAATCAGGAAAAGCAAGTTTAGTTGATTATATAGTGTTGAACCACCAATAGCAAATATTAGCGAGAACTATTAAAATATTGATAGTATTGAACGACATCAATCGAAAGTAATTATCATTAAAGAAAAGAAAAAAAATCTGAAAATAGTCGAGATTCCTCGTTATTCAAATATCCGGAAATCTGCGACAAGAAAATAAATCCTTGTGTTTGAAAACAGCCTGATCTTACCTAGAAGGACAAGCTTGACCTCGACCTCACATTTGAAGCTTTCTCCATCCTTCTCAATGTAGATGGAAGCTACATAAATACCTGCATCTTCGGCATCAAACTTCCTGCGTGATGAGAGTTTAAATGGTGATTATTATGCAGTCATATGATCTGGTAGCCATCATGCCATAAGTTGTTCGCGAACACCTGTTCACGGACACCTGTTCACGAACAGGGGTCGGCCTATCTGAATACTACCCTCAATTATTTATAATTTCAAAAACAGCCAGCTTGAAATCAACCATACAGGTATAATAATGACAGTTTAATTTCAAAAGTCGCTAGTAAGTTGTAATTGTGCCCAATTTAAGGTTAAGACAAGATCTGGAAGAGCCATTTCAGGGCGAATTTCAATATTTTCAACAGCATCGAGCAGAAGATTCTGAAGTTCGAGCAGAAGATTTTGAAGTTCGAGCAGAAGATTCTGAAGTTCGAGCAGAAGATTCTGAAGTTCCTGCAGAAGATTCTGAGGTTCCTGCAGAAGATTTTGAAGTTCCTGCATGGATATCCTTAATTATGGATATCCTTAATTATGGATATCCTTAATTATGGATATCCTTAATTATTTGTCATTTCAAAAACGTCCAGCTGGAGGTCAACCATACAAGTTTGATGACAGTTTCCAAAAGTAAGTAAGTTGTGCCTAATTTAAGGTTGAAACTGGATCAGGAAGAGCCATTTTAAAGTCAATATAAATATTTTCAACGGGATTCTGTCCAGCAGAAGATACTACAGCAATGCTTGCACAACATACCAACCAGTGTATTGTTTGCTAAAAATTAACTGATTCGTGTTATTCGACTATTAGTATTATATGAAGTGCAATATGCAGTGCTTGGCAACGCTTGTAAGGTATAAAACTATTTCCAAATAAAAGGTGATCATCGTCAGGATAGCATTTTCATAGTACATTACCTTCAAGCTTTCTAGATTGCTCTTAGTGGATAAACATTATAATCCTTATACTCAGTGACGAAACGTATCTGTGGGCCGCCCATGTCGCTAAATTCTGCCGCCCCTCTCCTCTTAAATTGTTCTAATATCCTGATTTTTAGAGAATACGTTTGTAAAATCTTTAAAAGGCATTTTATTGGGGGCGGTCGTTCCGCCATTGCTTACACCCTGCAATCTGCATCACATAACAATAGTAACCTTTCATGGCTTTGAGTTCAACATTAAGTTACATACTGCAGAGTGCCGTCTCAAGTAAGTTACCTAGTTGCAATGCCACACACCTTGCTCGGGGTACACGCAAAGATTCTTCCCCTTTAATCACTTAATCGTTTATAAAACAATGGGTAAAGAGGGGCTACAAGGAATTGGAGTGAAATAGAACAATAGCAATTAGACAAATCTCGTGAGCAAGGCTCTCCAATTCCACACTCCTACTATCTTCCCTGGCTCACTTAATGGACCAGTTCGTTTGCTTTTGTTCATCAGAGAGAAATCCAAATGCCACTCGTAGGTCGAAATATCTTCAGTCAAAGAATCAAGCACCGGCCATTGAGGACGGTTTCAGCTGTCATTAAATCTGTGGTCACTATTTTTTTTGAAAATTCAATTAATTATTATATATATAAATCAAGCGTTACATTTCAGCCATGCAAAATTACAATGACATATTTTGACATACTAATTGATAAATGGTACTGCAATATAAGTTGCTTAATGTTTGGCCGGATGACAACTAACTAAAAGAGAAAAAAAAAACTTGATTACATAATAATTAATTCGGCTGAACCAACACATAGCAAGAGCCACATTAACGTTGGGGCCGTCTACCAAATTTGAATGACATACAATAACAAGAAATCAAACATATCATAAATAATTATATATGGATTTTTTTCATTACAATTCCGTCACAACTGATAGAAGAAAAAAAACTTGCGATATTAATTATTTTGTTGAAACTTGGCAGCCTAGAGATTCTTCTTTTTCGTGTTCTTGGCTGAATTTGAGGTCTTCGGTGAAGAAGTTGAGGAAGGTGAGGAAGGATTCTGCGTGTTGTCTGTCTCTGAAGGATCCGAGGCCATCGTCAACGAAGTGGGAGTAGATATAATTAGGGGGTCAGGACACTCAAGACACGAGGAGAGGGCTAATGGCTCTATCTCGGCAAGGCGTATTTCAACGATAAAGGGGAACCCATGGTGCCACCTTCGTATTGGTAGCCATTAAATTGGAGGTAGGAGTTGCATCGAGGCAAAAGTTGATGAGGAACTTATGGTGGTGGTGGTGAGGTAAGAGGGAAGGAGAGTAGGATTCTGTTCGTAAGACTAGATGATTGTTTTAAGGGCCAGGTGCATGTCACAGGAGGTGTAAGGGGATTGGACATCTAGGGAGGTGTGATATGAGTAAGGGGGATTAAGAAATGAGTCGAGACGGTGTTTGAAGTCTGAGGAGTCTTTGAGGCATAGGGGTTTGAGGAATGTAGCAAGGACTTTGTGGAGCGCTTGCAGGGGAATTTTGAAAAAGCTAACTACGGGACGGATAGGTGCGCCAGGTTTATGGATCTTAGGTTGTCCGGCCATCTAGGGTGGAGGTTCCGCATCTTTTTGAGGTGGTCTGTCGTGATCTTCTTGTCGTTGTGGAGTTTCTTGAGTACTTTATAAGTTTATACAGTTTGGAGGTAACAGATTGTGTGGGGTGTTTGTTCAAAAGGGTATAACTACCTGAGGTCAAGTGACCGTTAACTTTTTTTATGTATTGTTAGTGGGTTAACACCTCAATGGGGTTTCCCTTATCAGCAGGAAGAAATTTCAATTCAGATAATTATTAAATTTTAATGATTTGAGAGCTGTACGTTGTTGGGGAGTCAATTTGTCATGGGTCATGTCACGTCGTTTGTAAAATTTGGATTATAACACAGAGGTAACCTGATAGGTGGCGGGAGCTTCCGTCCCTTCACCAAGCTGTTTGATGACATTTTGAATAAGGGGAGTTAGTTCAAGGGTGGGATCTGATGTGGGTGTCGGGACGAATTTCAGGCCAAAAGAGAGTACGTCGCTTTCTGCTGTGGAAAGAGTCTGTCCGGAGAGGTTGATGACTGTCTTAGCTGTGTTGTCTTTCTTTGGGGTGGATGATGAGAAGAGGTAAATGGAATGTGGGAGCTGGTATGTCAAAGTTTGTGAGGGTGTCGTAAGGTGAGAGGCAGGGATGTGCACCGTGTTACTTTTAGGCGGCGGCGGTCTGGAGCCAAATGTTTGTTGTGTTGAAGTGTGTGAGTGTTTGGAAATACTGGGGGTGATGAGTGTGTGATTCTATCTGTCTAAGGTTGCTTTGTGTGTACTTGAGTCGGTAGTAGCCATAAACAGTTGTGGCCATAAACGGTGTTTGAACAAATTTACAAACACCTTTAAATCCCATCTTAATTAACATATTATCTATGCAGCTATGAAACTTGCAATATTACTGATCCTGTTGAAACTTGGTAAATCAGATACAGCGACATCGATTTATACTACCACAAGCTCATTCAGAATGACAGATCCTTTGTCATGGTCCGAAGGTAATTATTACTTATATATAGTTGAGTAGTTATATCATTACGTGTAAAAATTAAAATCGACCTATATCAGTTTAAAGATAGTTATTTTTGTTTTAAGTAAATGAATAAAAAGCTTAGTTTATTGCACATTGCTCATGAAAATACTTTGCAGAATTGTGCAGTTTTCAAGAAGACAGAGGATTCTTGAAACAGGTATGTACGAACCAGAGGAACGATAAATACACACTCTATAAGTGCCACAACACAGAGGAGTATTATTCGACGAACAACTGGAAAGAAGTGACAGCTTTATGTTCCGATGATCCGCACTATTATCAGGCTTGTGATGATGCCAGTGTCACTGTAAATAATATTGACGTAAGAAATGGCAACATGCTTTGTGGAGGATTTATCTGTAACCTTTCGAGGGACATCGTGAACTCAGTAGATTATAATGAAATTATTTGTAACGGTGAACATGACTGTGCTAATACAGAATTAGATGAGGAGGGATGCAGCGAACTAATAACTATGCCGAGTGGGAAAAAGGTAGTGTCCAGCAAAATCTGTAATGATGTTTGTGATTATTACGACTGTGAGGACGAGGCTACCTGTAACGGATATAGATATGGTATGTATTGCGACGATAAGTATACACCAGGATTAGTAAAGTACATAACACCATACATAATATGTGATGGAAATAAAGACTGTGTTAACGGAGAGGACGAAGCTAACTGTACCGTTACTAATGAAACACAGCAGGCTTGTCCGCCGCCGCCGAACGCCGCCGCCGCCGGGTGATTTTGCCACGCCGAACGCCGCCGATACACCCCGGCGTACATCGGCGTACGGCGTGCATTTTCTGGCTTCAATATGATTCTGTCTTCATTTGAAGATATTAGTGTTACTGATAGCGATTAGCGGCTAGGGGCAACACACACATGATACACACCTTTAGCTAACTTAACAATATTGATTATACCGTATATTGGAATAATCCGAACTACAGTTACTAGCAGCTAGCTCTCATCTGACGCCCACGTGTGACTCGATGTAACGCGACGCGTTACATCGAAAATTTCATGCTCCTTAAGTTAAATTGTACTGATCTATTATTTTCTAATGTACAATTAGCAATCTACACTCTGCAGTTTTAAGTCTGCCTATGTTTATATGCATTCACAATTCACAGTGAAATTGTACTCGTAACATGTTACGAGTTTTGTTCTAAAAACTATGATTTTGTTTCTAACAAAAAAGATTGAGAGATCCATTGATTTCAGCAATAATTTATTGTTTATGTATTTTACCTTAGATAAAATAATTGTATCAATTTGTCTCAACTTTTATTTGATAGCAGATAATACCATAACAATATACCAACATCATTTGTTGAAGTTAAGTCTAAATTTAATTACCCAAATTAAGTACATGATCATATTCATATTTCATAGACCTCAATTTAATTGGCCTTGATTTCACGGCTCACGCCGGCGTACGCCGCCGCCGCCGGTGTAATTTTAGTGAAACGCCGCCGCCGATCCATTCAGCCACGGCGGACAAGCCTGAGGAGCACGCTAGAAAAACTTTTCGGTAGATCATCGAACGCTGTAAGAAGATGACGATCAGACCTCATTATAGATTTTCAGAATGCTTAAACAATTATCTAAGGTGAAAATGTCCTCAAATTTTGAATAAAATTACTCCTTAATGGCGTAAAATCGATTTGAAAAATCAAGTTTTAAAAGTTGTGAAAAATCAAGTTTTAAAAATGGTTAACTTGATGACGTCATCAAGTGGTGATGATGACGTTAAATTACTTTTTAACATAATGTAAACTAAAGTCTAAACAATTATCTTCAAGACCTGTGGTCCGAAATCGGAAATGGCTGTATCTTTAAAGCTTCTGAATCTACTGACACCTAAATATAGCCTATAATTGACTGGCAAAGCGTCTATCCCTGAATATATATAGGCGGTGCACGATAAAAATAAACTTGCTCGGATTTTCAAAATTTTTGTACCATCGTTTTCTAGAGACTGTGAGAATTTTCACAGTACCAAATTTATTATACCTTTTTGGAATGATCAGTGAGTTTCTCCTTGGTGCCATATTTGATGGTGCGCGGCTTTTGGAGCAAAATTAGGTGTAAAAGTCGCGTAATTTGACCAAATTCGTTGATTTTTGTCGTATTATTTTGTCATATCTTCGGTTCCTGAACATGAATCATGCTAAAAATTTGTCAGAACCTTCCAATCATACTTAACTACCGAACCTAATTTAGTTGGGAGAGATTGGCCTTGAATAAGAGGTCTAAAAATGACAAAATAGGTATAAATTCGTTGTATCACGTGGTGACCCCCACGGTCGTTTCACTATAGTAAAACTCCCAATTCGAGTTTTAATTAAATTATAATATAGCATTAAGTAAAAGTCACTGTTAATGATCTATTTAACCCAATTCTGTACACCCAACTCTGTACATCGTATACGTAGTAGTGCACACTCAACTACACCCCGCTACTATACTAGCTGGAGTAAATACATTCAGATTGAAATAGAGTCACTTTAGACACTTTATCATGTACACAGTTAGCAGAATGAAAGAGACTTTGCAGAGAAACGAGGGGCTTTCGCGTCGTGGTGCCATGATAGTAACCTGTACTCCGTTTTATAGATCTATATTATAGCGTACGCTTAGCTGTATATTGACCACATTTGATATAATCACATACAACTAGGAACTCAGGAACCGAGTACCTATCTAGAGATTTGGCTGTAGGACTGGAATCGGTCAGATATCTCTCTCTCTCTCTCTCTGTTCTGGTCAACGGTTTCTGGCCTCTTACTAAAAGATGGAGGCCTTCTCACCGTGCCCACAGAATGCAACTCCTGCTAGCTGCACGCCAGGACTCCCAAAGTATATACGAAATCATAAAATAATAAATATCAATGCAACAGACCCCTGGAGTCTTGAAGCTGTCACTACCTGTCTCAGAGCAAACCCACTTCCGTTGTAGTACTTCTGCGGGCAGACAAGGGACTTCCGAGTAAGGTCAAAGCCTGGGAGATATGTCTCTATGCGGAGATGGGCCTAGGTTGAGTTCCTAGTATGGGATTTAGCGAAAGTTCCTAGTGAAGAATCCTAGGAGGTTACCCAAAAGGGTTTTTCCCTATCCAGTCTTGTCGACTGTTCCACAAATTTGAAGATATGATTGTAGTTTACTGTTTTTAAGGTAGAGTTTACCAATTATCCTCATTCTGAACGTCATGATCTGGATGCACTTGCAGAGGAGGTGCTGGGATGTTTCTGCTTCTCCTGAAAAGTGTTCACAATCTTGCGTCTCGAAGTTGACGTTGTTTGCCACGTTCTGAAAATAAACTAGTGGGCTGTGACCTATCCTGAAAGGGCCATGTAAGCCATCTGATGTGAGTTCCAGAAAAATTTTAGTTCCTGTATTTATATTTGTGGAGGAACATCTCAAGTGGAATGTTCCTTTGTCACTGAGTGTGGCCTAATTGGGAGGAAGGGTTCTGGTCCTATGGGGATGTTGTTGGATTGATCGTCCCTTGCGAATTCGTCCGCTAGTTCTTTACCGTATACTCCTTAATGTCCTGGAACGAAGTTCTACTCGATGAGAATACCTAGTGAGTTGAGTTGGTCTGAGATGTTCAGAACGAACCTGGAGTTAAAACTGGTGCTGTTAAGCGCTTTAAATGCAGCCTGGGAATCTGAGATCCTAAGTTATCATTAGTCCAGATACTTGCCATTGTATAACGCAAATAGCGGGTACGATTTCCTCAATGAACCCGAAGAAGGAATATCTGTCCTGAAATGATACCATGTATCGTCGAGCTAAAAAATGAATCAAAAATTAGAGTAAATCGTTAAACGTTGTATGTCCTATTTGCATCCCCTAAGCATTGCATTGATGTTTATTCCTGGTCCGGTTAGCTTTGCGTCTCAGAACTAAAGAGGTCCACTATGCTTTAGTGAGCTATACTGTCCACCAGGGTACTGTAGATCTAAGGGTTCCCCGTGTAATGGGGCAGGCTGTGAAAAAGCATCTCTGCAGGATGTCCGAGATGAACTGTTTTCGAGTGTTGAGAACTTCCGCTGTAGAACTGAATAGAACCAGTTGCAGTAGGGGTGTCAGTCAAACACTGCTGGCTACTAGATGATTGTAGAGCGTCCAGTCACATTTCAATGAAGAGTGTGGCAAAGCTAACCCGGTCCCCTGAAAAGTGGTTACTGGAGGAAGAAGTGCCAGGAATTCTCGCTATCAGTGTGTCCTCGTAGTCAGAGTTGACATCCCTAACACTGTCTTATCACGAGCCTGTGTCTAGCGTGTGTCAGCCCTAACGCATTAGCTGTCTTAACTGAAAAGACCTGAAAAGTGGTTACTGGAGGGAGAAGTGCCAAGACTACTCATTATCAGTGTGTCCTTGTAGTCAGGATGAGCGAATTGGAATCCCTATCTCTGTGGTGGGTGACTTCGATGGGACCTGAAAGCTGAAAGAGAATTTCCTGGTGATTTAATAGCTCTTAGAGCTATGTATCTGTGTCTAACGTATCGTCGTTTGTGTGTGTACTATCTTGTAACCTGATATCTGAAAGAGAAATTTCCTGGTGCTTGGTAGCTGTTAGTGTTGACTTCCTGGTTCCTATGGGAACTTTGAGTTGGCAAGTCCCAACCTTTGTACTCAACAAGAGAGCACACCACCCGTTAGTGCCAACCAGGCCACACCACGTGGAGGTTCGGAGAGGATTTCGTGACCCTCGGTCAGATATCAATCAATCTTCCTTTTTTTCAGACCGGAACCGAGAGGCAAACAGGAGAATTAAAATCTTATTAAAATATTGGTGATTTAAGTATTCTTGAAACGAAAAATTCACTAAGTTTTTTGAAAAGCATTTTTCTCCACGTTTCATGCAATTTGATTACTTTTGGCAAAAAAAATAATATTTTGAATTTTCGAAAGTTTCAAAAAAAATGAAAGTTTTTCAAAAAACTACTTTTCTCCGTGTTTTAAGCTATTCCGATCATTTTTAGCCAATACATTTTTCAAATTTTGCTAATTAGCTAATTGATAATTATCCAATTAACTGAATGTCTAACGAAAATTTGTCCTCCTGATAAGATGAACACCCTCGATTCATCTGCAAGCTTTTACGATGTTCAAAACTAAAGATATTCGACAAACAAGAAAGGTAAAAAGTGGTAAAAGTGGCAAAATGTGGTTTTAAGACACGTGGAAAAGTTTTAAATTTTAAAACGATGGCGGGTTTGAGCCTTAATTGACGATGTCAATTCATGGCAGCTCGGCGCGGCACAGTAACGCATCGCGCTACAAGTTTGAGCCATGAAATTCAAATTCAATGTTAAAATGGAAAATGATTTGACATCTAGATCTGCAGTTTTTTCGAATCAATTTTAAAACGATGGCGGGTCTGGGTTACTGGGCCGCGCTCAGCCTGTCATTCCGCCGAATCTATGTTTATGAACATAATAGCCTGAGGTCCCCAGCTCAGGTAAGGTCTGGGCCACCATACACCTCCTATTTATAAGTTTTTATTATTTAAATAATTTGGTCACATGTTTAAGTTTTGTACCATTTGTTTCAAACTGTGCTCGATTAGATTTAGTAAATTAGGAAAATATTTGGGTGCCGAAATTTTCCAGAATTTGAAAATGTTTAAAATGTGCCGAATTCAACGAAAGTTTTACAAAATCTTTCCCAACTGCCTAGTAGTAGTATCTGCTTAACTTTTGTTATTTGGGTATTTATATTATATAAAATTATCCAAATAAAAAATAGAACATAAATGAACATCTTAAAGATCTGATAAGTAGCCAGAAAAAAAGAAATACTGATACACAAGGCCAAGCTATATCAATTTCTCCCATCCCGCTCTATCAGAGGCTAAAGTGTACAAATCGTCTGTATTTACAAATGGAATGTTCCTACTACCTAAATCAAATTTAATAGTCCTAAGCAAGTTCGACTGGTGTCTGCAATGACGACGTCAATTTTTGAGCACAGCGCGAGCACATGCGGAAAAGGACCGCGTAGCTAGTCAAGATGTTGATAAATATTTGGCTTGTGGCGCGATGTGTTGCTCTAACTATAGCCCTCTCGCTTGCAGTAGCGCGACCGCCGGAGGCGGAAACGACTTGTGGAACAAGCGCGCCCGCAGCGGCGCGAAAGCACCTGGTTAGCTAGGTGAACGCGATGTACCTTGTAGAATGAAATCCTAGTCCTACTAGCTGACGCCACTCGCAGCTGTGCTGCTTGCTGTACGTCAGCGATCGAAATTTATACGCGTATCACCCGTTAAGATGTGCCACCCGACGCGCCACGCAATTTTTCTCGTTGTTCGTCGCACGTCGACGAACAACGAAGCTCGTTGCGACGCGCCGCGCAATGAGCTGCCAGGCTAGGACAGTAGTGTAAGGGGAGTTTTTCGAGCTGTATTTACCCCAAAAAGTGGGGTACATTTAGCTTTAGCACAATTGACTAATCTGCCACATTTTAGCCGGAGGTTACAAGTTCGAATCCCAGTCGGAGTTGTTCTCCAATGTGGTTATATTAGGTAGTGCGCCATCGACAGTGAGCCGCGCGTGCCGACTGTAGGATGGTTTTTTAGCGCTAATTTCGGCCAGCACAATTTTCTTCAAACACATAGATATTAAGTATTTTTCCCGACCTCTGATTGCAACAAAAATTGGTAAGCTTACTCATAGACTTACAAGGAAAGTGTCCGAAAAGTTTAAAGCATATCCAACCATCAGACATTATGTTACAGCTAAAAGCAGCGTATTTTGCCCCATTTTGATCACTATATCAACTCCGATATCCACCAAATTTTTCGGACAGTTGCGAAAGCCCTGTTGGAAGGTCGTCGCCAATTTTCAGAATGATCTCATTCAAGGAACTGAAGATAAATCCAAATAATACGACAAAAATCAACGAATTTAGTCAAATTTGGTCAAATTACGCGACTTTTACAGCTAATTTTGCTCCTAAAGCCGCGCACCATCAAATATGGTACCTAGGCGAAACTCACTGATCTTTCCAAAAAAGGTATGACAAATTTGGTATTGTGAAAATTCTCACAGTCTCTAGAAAACAATGGTACAAAAATTTTTAAAATCCGAGCAAGTTTATTTTATGGTGCACCCCCTAGTTATATTATTATTTTATTCAACTAAATACATTCATCACACAGCAGAAGTCGTTAAATGAATAGTGTACACGTTCACGTACAATTACATCAGTTGTCTATCGACATTATTAACATCTGGTTCAAGGCGACCTCTGCAGTACAATGTACTGATAAAGGGATATAGTGACTTATGTGATAGCTAAATTTAACTAGAGTGTACAGTTTAGGACAACACCTGGTTGATATGGTAACGTAATGAGAAAGCACTTTTCAGGACGGTTACTCAATAGTACCAAGATTGTACCGTCATTGTAAAGTAAAGTGACGGCAACAGCTGTGTTTGTACTTGACAGATATTTGCTTAATTTAAGAACCAAATAAAACTAAAGTGAATTGATAAAAATGTGACTTTCTTAAAAGAAATACGTGTCAACAAAATGTAGAAGCTGATAAATATATAGTGTCAAGTGTACTCGATCACGTATTACACTGACTGTTTGATATGAAATGTAATTTATAGAGAGTACTTACAGGACGGTTACTTTACAGCCTCAAGAATAATATGTCATTGTATAATAGCCATAGACCTAGTACAGAATAGTCACGGTAGCAGCTGTGCAATGTATTTGACTCAAATCTCTTGTCAGGACTGGTCTAGATATTTTATATTTTCTACAATTATATCAGAAGATCTCAACAAATTGAACAGTGTGCAAGGAATTTTTAAATATAATAACCAATGAAAGATAGTGTTAATTCTTACCTCAATTAGTGGACCGTCCCTTTACATTAGAACTCAGTGTTTGTTTTTGTTAAATATATTGATAAGGTATAATTACGAACATGTGCGTGTTTTACTGGACAGTCTCTATCTTCTTCATATCTTGAGGTCTTAGCTTTAGGTAAGTGACAACTGGATCAAAGTTGTTTTGTTTACTTTTATGCTCAAGGTTCGCACTATTCTGCTTTGTTATATTTGAGTTGTCGTATATCAGCATAGTATTTTAGTACAATATTGTAGAAATCATACCCGTAAATATTTGTTGCTCGGTATCTGGCAGCAGTTCATCGATTAATGTTCCGTGTTCTGTTTCCTGGTATTTTGTAAACGTCCGTTTGATAAAAAGATAATAACTATAAGGTCCTCGTCATATAAAAAGAACTTAAACAAAAAGTCTCCAGATGGTAGGAATATACATTATTTGCACACTTATTTAGCACTCTAACTATAATAGAGATGTAACCGCACACAGGTCAATGTATTATTACTCCATAGTGCACACACACCGCACTGTGCGGATTGTTTCTTTGTTTGTACCAGGTTTATTGATCGTAGTGTTTATCAAGATTTAGAGTTTTTTTGAAGTTTTGAGGTTTAATTAGTCATTAAATATATTGTCATTGGTACTCGCTAGCCTTTAATTACTTTATATAATTGCTGTTAAATGTTTTTGAATTATAATTATTTTTTCTTTGATGCACTGTAGATCTTTACACATCAGTTCAAACGTTCAACTTTTCATTAATTCTGAACATATTATACAGGGTAAAATAAAAATAGGGGTCCTAACTCCTAAGTGAATCAAATTGATGTTGGTGTATTGTATCCATCAACAATGTCCTGCGTCCTTTCGAAATTAAAGTTAGGAGACCACTTGTCGTACACATTGTATCTCAAATTTCAATTTGCATGCATTAGGACTTTAGGAATTAGGATCACGCATCACTGAAATATTGTTCTTGTGGGGGATAAACTCCCAAAATAGCCTTTACTTAAAACGAATACTGAAAAGCGAATTTTTGATAACAATTTTCTAGATCATTAATACATAATACGATGTTGTTACATTGAAACGTTGAAAATGTTCCTTATTGTCCTGATAAGAGTCTTTTCCTTGTTGCAATAAACGGGAACACTTCGAATTTTGCCCCAGGTTCATTAAAATTATGCGACTGATAAATAATGTTCCGATCATTGTACATTGTACAATATCAATATGTAATAATACACAATAATGAACAAATACATGGTGTACCAAGAAACGGACTGAGTACGAGGGGTACCCACTTTCACTTCCATGAGGCTATCTTAGAGTATAATATGAATATTGTACAATGTACAATGATCGGAACATTATTTATTACGTAGTCGCATAATTTTAATGTACATTGCAAATTGTTGTTTTCTTGAAGTGTTATATTTATAAGCCGTGTACTTGGATCACCGACCATGGTTGAGAGGACATTAAATTTCAGCACTTTTCATATTTTGTCATGCTCTTGTTATCTGCTTCAGTTTAAATTTGTTTGTTGACTGATTGATATATCATTATTCTGCCTCTTATTTGGTTGCATCGCAATTTAACGCTGCATTTTAAACTGATGATACAAGTAGAGGAAATGTTGTGATGGTTATTGGTTACTGGTACTGGTAGTAGTTTTTTTTATTATTCTCGAGACGATATCGTCTCGATATATACAATATACACTATCCTACGAAATGAGTTTGACAGCTGAAATCAATCTCTTCTCACTAAATTAACTGCTACGTACCAGTGAAACCCGAGCATGAGTTGACAAGTTATGTCAGGACACCGTGTCAGTCATAAGAACCCCAGAATTAGCCAATATAGAAGACACGGGTGTGGTGCCGGCCCACAATGAAGAAGCCCGATCTGCAGAACATGGTGGAGTGGAGGAGGTTACCAGAGAAGCTGTTATGAAGTGGATACATGACGGACATCCTGAGCAGCAACACGATGTAAGATCTGATTGTGTAACATTACAACATTGTATTGCATTGATGTATAATTAATGCACCTTTCTATTCCGTACCTTTATATACTGGGTATCTTGTAATAGGGGCCTCTTCTTTTCTGCAACCCTACTTTTAGTCAATAAGCCCGCTTTTTTTCAGTTCGTGTAAGAATTGTTTTATAAGAGCCACGATAATCATGGTTATTATTCGCAGATGTATTTCTACACGAGTAAAAAATCAACACTATTATTCAAAACTTGGGAAATAGACACAAACACGGGCAAGCATTTTAAATTATATTGGAAAACATTTTCAAACACCTGACATTCAGGAGATTACCATGTTATCAGTATTAAGTATTTTAACTCCAGTACTTCATCTTGATATACCACAGGCCCATAGGCAAAGTCTTTACACAAGCAATATTTGACATACATGTGTTTTAAACGCCACATTTTTCAGAGTTTTGGTTAGCGATATTCGGCATCATAGCCCTGGGGGTTGTTTACGAAATGCTTCAGAGTTTTCGGTCCTGTCTAATTTTAGAAGCGAGAACAAACGAGCACTTGGAGGAGAATAAGCCCATTTTACAAAGAGGAGAAGACAGAAGGTGAGTTTCTAATTTCTATGAAGTTTCAAGGAAGCAAGGAAGTACAATAGAGTACAATAAATTATTTACCGTTTATTGCACTGCTCCCTTTTCTGCAATTTTTTCTATCTATACCTATTTCATGAAATGGATTTTATTTCAGCTGCTTCGAGAAGTTGTGTGTACACAGTGTTTTGACGGTAATCTACACCCTGGAAATGTTCATCATGTTCATATTAATGGTGATATTTATGTCGTATAACGTGTACTTCTGCATAGCAACTTTATTGGGAGTCGCTTTAGGATATTTCTTTTTCGGGTCATCAAGAGTTTACGCTGGACAACACTGACCGATATTAAATGTTATGAATGCGTAAAATATATCTCATGATCAATGAAGAAGTTAACGTCAAGAAGCTCACAACATAAGTGATAAGACTGATGGAAATCACAAAGATACTGACAAGACTTTCGACGACTATCGCACGGGTTTAGATTTGTAGCGATACTAGATTAGCAGGGCAACCGTTATTGATATCCAGATAAACCTTACACTGCGCTCCAGACGTTGACCCCAAGAGCAACTTCAGTGACCGATGGCTTCAAAACTACAGGCCCCAGTGATCTCAAGATTCAAGAAGAAGTTCGGACTTACCCCGCGTTCATGTTTTGATATTTATGATCGCTCGATAACAAAAGAAACGGGAAAATAATTAATATCATGCAAACAAGATGATTCCAATCCGCATGGTCGAATGATTTTCTTCCCGTGCCCTATTTAGTATTGTTTCCCTTCATTGTAAGTGAACTTTTATGTTATCTGACTGGACATAATACCCTATTGACACTGTTTTTCTTATTTGTGCATATTCTTGATCTTCCGAAATAACTTGCAGCTGCATAAAGAGATGGGTATTACTATTATTGATGGACTAAGAGTATATATATAGTATAATAGGTAAGGAAAATTTAGATTTTGAATTTAAACCTGTTACATATTAAGTTGCAGTGATTGACGGAGACGACATTTAACAAGATTCTTCTGAATCAGAATTTTTGCTCTAGAGCAAAAATTATACATATAGATAAGGTTTGGAGATAAGGTTTGGAGTATAGATAAGGTTTGGAGTATAACATACTTTACAGAATTAAAAAATAAAAACATGCAACTTTATTCGCGACTGGTTGACACACTAATATTATGTCATTGGTTAATTAATAAAACAATTAATGGAGATGACCGCTCTCCAGGATCATCAGCCAGATCAGATCCGCGGCAGTGGGACCTCTAGTTCTTTTAGACCCTGTCACACGACATGATCTAGCAGAGCTACGAGGCTGGCACGAAGAGCAAGTAATTTTTCTATCTTGCTCCCCCCACTGTGGCATAAGGCCGACTAAAATAAAATGACTTAGACATCTATATTGTGGTTGCTTAAGTCTTTAAAAGGTTTTCTAAAATCCGATTTGTAGTTGTAAAATCGGTATTGTAGTAGTAAAATCCGGTACGTGGTTATAAAAGCACATTTGTAGTGGTTTCAGGTTCCGTTTTTCATTTCAGTCCATTTTCGTGATCTTTAGTCCTTATCTTTTATTCCTCGTTATCTTCTTTACCATCGAGTGGCAGGAGTTAGATTCATGAAAGGAATAAAGTTGTTCCCTCGGCCTCCATGACTGAACACGTCGTCAAAGTTGGTCCAGGGTCCACGACGCCACGATGGTTCTGATCGTCGGAGACTTTCAATAGAGTTCTTCATGAACATCTTCAATTTATCCAAGGATGCAGCAAGCTCATCACCGAGTGATGTCGATTTACTGTCGAATGCATACGCTGCTCGTCGACGGTAAGATTTGTTCCTAAACATGTTCTTTACTTTAGTCCGAACGATTTTCTTTCGCTTCCCGTTAGGAAGTAAGTTGAAGGGCTGTTCAACTTTGGTCCCTTCGGTGTAATTGAAGGAATCACTCCAATCGATCTCATTCGGGTCATCCTCGATACTCCCAGGAAGAATAAATGAAGATAGGCCTTCAACCTCGTTGATTTCTTCAATCCAAAACACACCTCGACCGTTGTCAGCGATCTTGTGTGTGTCAAAATTGACGGGCAGGTTATCATCTTCATCGGAACAAGAGTCCAGCGATGGAGCTCTTCTCATGAAATCAGGTTCTATCCTGATTTCCTCCACTTGGGTTATCTCGTATCGAGATCGTCTGTCTAACAATGAAAGAATCATCTTTAGATAGGTAGATTTTTTAGGTCAGGAGAAAAATTTCTGTAACTTTTTCTAGATTGACAATGCACAAAGCAATCATGCACGTGCAACGTGGTCTATTCGTACGGATCAAGCTGTTACCTAGCAATTTCATCATTATGAAGGAGCAGTAAAGCATGGTCAGCCACTAAACTATACATGTTTGGTAGCTGATATCATAGGCGATTTAACTGGTAAATTAAATCATTCAAAAACAATAGATTAATTAACCAGAACACGATTTGAAATAAAAGTAATGCATACTGTGTATACGTACGTGCGCGATACGCCGGTCGCGTCGCGCGCGAGTACATTTACATACAACCGAGTATTGGCGGCCTACGTTTAATGGAGTCTTAATACAGTTCCTAAACCGTCTCTGAACCACCGCAGCTAAGTTTTTACGATTTCACTACGAACGGAACTATTTACTATTAACCAATTTAAAGACTCGTGTACTGAACCTAACAAATTATCTAATACGCTTGCACAATTACCATCAACAATTTTGCTTTAATCAGAATATATATAGTCACAAGGAAAAGACGTTCATTGAATGTATCTGAAAAAAGAAAACGAAAATTCATAGGTTGTCCATAATATTCATATACATAATTAGTGAGTGTGTGGGGTGGTATTAACATGATATATTACATTATTACAAATTTTACAATATAAAATCTTTATCAAACACTTTACTTCTTATATTTAGTAGCGCATTGAACATTTATATCATTATGTATTAGTAACTACAGTTATTGATTCATGACCTTCAAAATCATAGACACGTTATGTTTTTAGTGAAAAAATCATCCGAAAAATCAAATTAATATCTTAATACTTTCAATATCAGAAATTAATATTAATAACTTATTATAACAAATCTATTAATTTAAGTTTTTAAGTTGAAAAAGGGATAAGACATTAACCCGAAATAATCTGCTTCTTTCTGATGACTAGATCGCCTGAGCCGTTTACACCTAACTCTGGTAATTGCAGCACGTGGTGGTTTTTATTGCTGACAAGACCACGGGTCTTGTTCATGATAGGAGGTTTCTGCATGCCTGGCTTTCTGATTGGGGGACGTCCTAAATTGTTTTTATTGAGTTCTTGTTGGGGTTTACTGGACGGCTTCATGCCGATGAGGAGTAGTGCTTGGTTAGGAGTTGAGAAGGATGGTATTGAGCAGGAAGATTTGAAGCTGCAGTTGCTGGAGCGCCGTTTGTCGTTTCGGTAGGGTGGTCGGTTGTTTGGCAACTGAATTAGGGGATTTGTATTCATATAATAGGTATTTAAATTAGATAATGAAAGGAAAAACAGAAGATGGTAATTACCTAGATTTATCGAAAAATTTACTGAGAACAAAAGGACATACCACATTGTCGAATGTACTATTCAAGAACTGGTCTGGACTCTTCTTGCCATCGTAAAGTTGGGCACACTGAGGAGGATATAGTCAGGAAATGAGTGACTAAATTTCAATAAAATATTTGGCAACATTTTTAGAAAACACTGAACGTACCTCCATCACATTTTATTCAGATTTAAGATATAAACAGAAAATAATTATAAATAATAATTGTAAGAAAACTTACAACTTCATTATAAGAGCAGATGGAAGGTGATGTGCTGTGTCGCTCTAACTTTCTGGACCGAGACCAGAGCTGCTGTTTGGGCGGCACTGTCACCTCTGAGGATCCAAACAAAATATTAATTTAATTTAATCGAATCCATCCCAATTCCCAGCCTAGAACCTAGAACCTAGAAAAGGTATAATGTAATGAATCTGCCGACACAGCTGATTAGAAATATAACAAATTTATTCAATTAAAGCATTATTCCTACTCATTTTATTATTCAACGGAGATCAGTAAACAAATCTGTATAAGAAAAAATGAACATTCCAAATGAATAAATTAATGCTTCAAAAGATGAGTTCATTCCTAAGATGAAAAGTTTCACCGGTAAGGGTGACTAAAACGTGCAGAATGCACATAATCAAAGAAGGTGCAATATTTAATTAGTTATGCTTAGTAGAGATGCTGTTCAGAGCATCTTTTAACTGTAATTATCTGAGTAGAAGAGAGATAGGGTGCAGGCGATTAATTAATTATAATTGGGGGGGGGCCAACCATATTAAAGTATATTAAAATGTAGGATTTTTCCCGATTTTGACCCGGGGATATACTTTAATATACTTTAATATACTTTAATATACTTTAATATATCCCTATCTCCTTGGAGGCCTACATTAAAAATTGTTGCCCAAAATAAGCTTGAAATGCAATCCTTAATCGATTCCAAAAAGTTCTTGAAAAAATATTGAAAACTGATGGAGTTATTTCAATTTTAATGAAGTCATTTTGGCTAGTATTCTGAACCGAGATATTATGTGCAATTTTCCCAATTTTGTTCATGGAGGTCTTTTTACTTAGTATCCACTATATCCAACAAACACTGAGTTATATCTTTCACATAGAGTTAGTCTCATTAAAAAATATTGAAATTTTATCGAATTTGGGCAAAAACGAATTTGGACAAAAGCGTATGCCCAAATATGGGCATATTTTTTAAAGCTCATAGCTCAGCCAATTTTTGACCAATCTGGATGGAAATTCATGTACTAGTCCTAAAACAGGCTTATCTTGCGAATCTGAGTGAAAAATATAGTTCATCATGTAAATCTTAACGAAGAATATAAATCTTCTAATTGTAGGTATATTAAAGTATATTAAAATGTAGGATTTTTTCCGATTTTGACCCGGGGATATACTTTAATATACTTTAATATGGTTGGCCCCCCCCCCATAATTACAAGTTGTGGGTTGGAGGTTTCTGATGCTAGGTGGTCACGTGATGCTAGGTGGTCACGTGATGCTAGGTGGTCACGTGATGCTAGGTGGTCACATGATGCTAGGTGGTCACGTGATGCTAGGTGGTCACGTGATGCTAGGTGGTCACGTGATGCTAGGTGGTCACGTGATGCTAGGTTGGTCACGTGATGCTAGGTGGTCACGTGATGCTAGGTGGTCACGTGATGCTAGGTGGTCACGTGATGCTAGGTGGTCACGTGATGCTAGGTGGTCACGTGATGCTAGGTGGTCACGTGATGCTAGTGGTCACGTGATGCTAGGTGGTCACATGATGCTAGGTGGTCACGTGATGCTAGGTGGTCACGTGATGCTAGGTGGTCACGTGATGCTAGGTTGGTCACGTGATGCTAGGTGGTCACGTGATGCTAGGTGGTCACGTGATGCTAGGTGGTCACGTGATGCTAGGTGGTCACGTGATGCTAGGTGGTCACGTGATGCTAGGTGGTCACGTGATGCTAGGTGGTCACGTGATGCTAGGTGGTCACGTGATGCTAGGTTGGCTAGCAAAATTTGCTTCACTTTACTTTTAACAAAACCAGCGAGATCTGAATTATCAAGATATCGTGAGTCCCCTTTTTTTAGATAAAAGTGATGGGCACATTTTCGAGATTCTTGGCAAGGCACCCATCATTTGGGAACTATTTCAAGAATCTTTAATTGATCTAGGGCAAACTCATTTTTAGGACAAGAACAAGTATATAATCACTCGCTTTTTTCACTTTCAGTATTTGTTTAATGATAAAAGTTATATCTTGCTGGTCACGGCTGCCTTGAAGAAATGCTATTGACCACGGTTTTACCTTTTAAGAAATTTCTGAACTCGACGGCTCCATTGCCTATCTCAGTAGTTTTGGGTTTTGATGATTTGGGTTTTGAGGATGGAACTTTGCGACTAAGTTTGCGAGCAACAGAGGATATGAACATATTGGAGCCGTTTGCAATCTTTCTGTTCTCTGTAGCCAGATTTCCATCGATTATGTAGGACGTTCCAAAGCCCGTTTTAATCTCATCTTCGGTGCTTTCAACTATTATGTAATATGTATATTGTATAAACATTTTTTTAGCATGTATCCATTTTCGTAAAATATTATATTAGATATATATGTATATATCAGGGCACTGATTATTGGTATTGTTTTATACATATCATGAAACGGATCGTTTGCCCGCCAATTTGATTTGGTTCAATTGTTCGAATTATATATATATTATTATTATAATAATAATATATATATGTTTTCATATACATATAATATGTTTTCATGAAGAACCTTTGCACAACTTTGTTGGTAACATAGCAATTATTCCGGAAAGATTATCTACTTTTCCTTAGCCATCAATAATCCAGGAACATGACAACTGCACTAAAATGAACAATGTAGCGATTATTACTAGCAATTTACAGTTAAACCAACACATATTCTACAGAATAACACTACAACTCCCAGTAAGTGTGTACACGTTTACATAATATCCCACACGACAAGCCGGATTTACCGTGCATGTTTCAACCTCCCCCACTACATGGTTATATACCACAGCCTCAGAGCGGCCCTCCCTCCCTCGATTAATGAAAATATAGTATGCATATAAAACCTTCATGAAACAGTTCCGGAGCTGTAGTAATCGAATCGTTGCAGCAATGTGTTTTCTTTTGAGCTGACTTACAAAAGAGTTGATGTAAAGTGGCCATTTTTATGCCCAAACAAAATATTGGGTCAAATGGTTACAAGATAAGCAAATAGTAGGAAATTAATAATGAAATATGGCCAATAAGTAAGTATTTTACCCGGTATGTCGGGTGTGACAGGGTTTGGTAGTTGGTGCTCTCTCTCCACTTTCTCTACGTCACCCTTCGCTCTTCTCTGAAAACATTACACTATGTTATTGCATGTGTGTATGTTTACTTGGTAGTAATTATTTAATTTGCCACGCGACGGTAAGCACACACTTAAGGGGCGCTTAAGGCAAAATGTGTGTAACTATTTTATAAGTGTACATCTACCAATGTAGATCTACCAACTCATCTACCAATGAGTAGATGTAAATCTACCAATGAGTTGTGTTCTAATTTCCCAGAGAGTGTTCAACTGACATGCAGGATAAATGAGAGTTTTAATATTGTAACAATCGAAATTGGTAGGCAAATGGATCGTTTCATGATACTGAAAGTGATTTAAAACAATAACGATGGTCGGTACATTAGTATTTTTTAATCATTATCAGTAACATTGCTTCAATTGCTCTATGTGTATCCACAACTCTAATTAGAGTAAAATATCACTATTCCTCAATCATTACAGTAGACGAGTTCACCAGGTATAATCAATAAACTAATGAAGAAATTTCATTACACGCGAATTTATGAACCCTTTTATTAATGAAAGTCACATCAATCATGTGATAAAAGTGGAATTTTGAATGCACAATTTTGAATACAGCATACTCTCAAGATGTGGAAGGAATTATCTAATGGGGGAAGTTGAAGAGAAGTAAAGAATTGTAATAGAATTTAAATCGACAAAATATTCCAGAACTTGCAGTTTCTATGGCAACTAAAGCATCAAATATAATGTGAGATAATTCGATGCTCGACTGAAGAACTGAACTTACAGTCTGAATCATTATTCACGTTAAATGGTACACAAGAATGTCTGCGAATACCAGAAATTTGAGACGTTGGAATAAAAAATATATTCAAGTTTGGAGTTATGTAACTGTTAAATAATAAACTGAAAGATTGTATCAGTAGTATAGTAATTTTTGTCAAACATCTAAAATGCAAATGTTAATAACAATTTTGGTAGTTGTGGAGGCTGTTAACCGATTTTTACAATGTCTTCTCCAGACAACAATATTTTCTCAAATTTAGGTTTGAAATTTCATGTAGGATGTACATTTTATTATGATATACAGTATACTTATAGTATGCGCTAGATATCTTTTAATTATCAAGTCGCAAAAATCGGTTACATGTGCATTGTGCACTAACCATGTTACGTGTGTAACATTAATTTCCTCAACAGTGCAATCGCAATTTGGGTGTTTTATCATAAACGAAACAGAGTTAAAACTTCACTGACTATTATTAATAACAATTAATTAATTGGTAATTACCTTATTACGAGATAGAACTGAGCTTCGTTCCACGTAAGATTTAAGACTGGATGCAAGTTCGCTCTGGGACAACTTAGTTTGTTCCTCTGAAATAATTTCCTTAGGTTAAATTGTTTAATAAAATTGTCAATGTTATAATAAATCATATCCACTCTAGACTTACGGTTGCGGTTTTTAAATAGCTTATTGAACAGCTGAATCTTCAGTGGTTGAATGTTGTGACTCCGGATGTCTTAGTTACGGTAATTTTATAACAGGAAGATATTGCCTTCAATTGCTTCAATTTACGTCTTCCACCTGCTTAACTTTACGTCTCCCACCTGATTGAATCTACAACAAAGGCTTGGCTTGGAGACAGAAAACTGGCCACACACACCGCACTCATATAAACAATCCCTGACCTTTGTTATAAACAATCCCTGGCCGGTCACTTATTGTTAGGCTTCAAGCGTAACATCGGGCTAATCACGAGATAATGATTCAATTGCTCTTTGTAGGCGAGCTCACCACTTTTTGTATGATATACCAAGTAACTAAGTTGTTAAATATCGGACAGGGAACAAATAAGTGGACGTTTACTGGAGGTGATTACCAGTATTTGTAGTTGTGGTTGCCATGGAGATCAGTTATCGAGACCAAACATTACCTGGTTTGCTCTGGGTAATTTGTTTATATATAGGAGGTCTACCAATACTGGCTGTAAATATAACACAGCAGGGACACACTATCTAGGTATCTAAGATAATCTGACCATGAACGCCTGAACGGTATCTTCAGGATTGTGAGTTGTTTGGAATTCAAACAATTTCAAGTTGTGAGTAGTCATTCTACTACAACTTTGATGCTTATTCGATCTAGGAATATCGGATAGCGAGGCGAAATGACTGCTTTATTTACATTCTGTGTTAGTCATGCAAGTTTGATGAATGAAGAAAGTCTTTGCATAACAAAAATTACAATTATCGCCAACATAAATGTATCTAATGCAGAAACTTGATTTTAAACCTTTCCAAAAATACGACAATGATCTCTCTATTCATGTTATTCAAAATATCTTTCTAGGGTACATTTTTACCATCAAAGCGTGTTATAAATGCTAGAATTTATTTATAATAGAACAGTGAAAATTCACATACCAGAAGGAGCACTATCGAGCTCGTGTTGCATGGTGTCCCCACCTGAATCCTGTTCACTTAGTTCCGGCTCACTCACCATCAGCCGTGCTAACTCGGAGTCTTGCTAAAACCAGGACTATTTATTATTTAATTTATTATTTAATTTATTATTTAATTTTATCGAAAACTGAAATTTAAAGAAACAGCTACAGATCATGCGAAAAAGAAGAGTTACACGATCAACAAATGCCTGGAATGCCAACAGTTCAAGAGTTACTCTACGACACTTTAACAATGCCATACTAACATAACAACTAGATAAACGAATAAAAGTGGGTCTAGACTGCACTGCCTCCCCACTTAAACCATATTTCAATTAGCTAATAACCTCATTATCCATACTGCCGTCGTTGCTTTCGCTAATGTCAGAGAACTCGTCCTCATCCTCCTCAAACGGTCTCGTCTTGCTGTCTATCATGTTGTCCACGCCACTGTCCGTGAGTCCGTCTACTCCAGAGTCTTTACTCCGTGTCCGGTTCTTGATGCTTCCTATCAGGGAGAGGGGAGTGTTTGAATACATAGGTCGGGAGGAATTAAAGCAAAGAGACAAGATATTGGGATGGTCTCATGTCGCTAACGTGTCTTATTACTGTAGCTGTGTATGGTGCTTTAATGAGGAAAATCTTGAAGTCGCATTAATTCTGAGCTACCATGTACTGTCTTTGGCAAAAAAAAGTGAAAAAAACCGTGTCAATTGTTGAAAACGAGCACTCGATGATTTACGTGACTATTCAATATATCCTTAATATAGAAGTTGCGGGATTATTATTTTATCTAATTGTCTCAGCTCCTAAGACTTAGGAGAGGAAACTGATCCAGAGTGTTCTTTACAAAAAGATGTACTCCGATTTACACACAGTTCAAAACATTTTCAACAAAATGCAAACGAACCACTCAATAAAAGATAAAAACGAAGGCGGGATGTTCAGAGATATATAAATATGTTGCAACGACTATTTCTTAAAGCCTGCTTGCTCGGTCTCGCATGATCGACAACAAAATATCACTTAAAATAAAAATGAGAATTAACATCAAATCGATGCATCATATTACTGATAAAAATTATTTATAACACACCCACACGCAATAAAAGTACTGCAAGCTGCTGAATATTTCACAAGAAGGTAAGTTATTATATCGGCAACAAGACACAGCAGTACTGCGCAACCACAACTAATTATTAATGCGACACAATGCGACCACAATGCGACACAATGCGACCACAACACACTTACTCAGATCGCAAGGTAAGCTCTTAGAAACGCAAACATTTTAACTCAACAAATTTGTTTCACGCCAAGTTCCCACGACATACTAAATAAAGCACATCTTAATTCTTAATGGGTCTTGGCATTCAAATATTCAATTTCATGTTTTGATTTCATTACTACTTAGTTACAATCGGCATTCCGTTACAACGAACTATTAAACTTTCTTCTTTTAAAGTACCGCAAACAGGACACAATTGTAATTCTATCAGGGGGGTTCCTTTGTGTCAAATAAAATACTCAATCTTCTTACAAATTTAAAACGATTATGATTGTGGGCTGCTAAAGTTTAAAATTACCTTCAGTAAGCGAGCACTTTAGCTTGAGATGACTGGAACTGACTCTCCCAAAGTTAACGATCAATTGTCCACAGCTCGTACGTTCTGTGGCTGAACCTGGGGGAGACTTGTTGGTCACGTGACCGACAGAAATGTTAAAACTTTCTCAATACTACCAAGCAGGCAGCATTAGAAATCAGATCAGATTATGTTAATTCAAAGGAGAGCTCATTATACATTATATATTATACATATATAATACATATATAATATACTATATGGACTCAGATTGTATTAAACCGTTTTTTGAGTCTCCATAATTTATAATTATAACATTATTGAATTAATTTATGTTTAAAAGTTTAGTTATATTCAGACCAGCTTGACTTCTAATCAAAATGTTTTTAAGAATAGCACGTTAGGTTGACAAGGTGGGACCATGTTATTAAATGATTTATAAAATAATTTATAATTAAATGTAAACCTGACAATTGTAAGTAGAAACCTACTGACAAATTTACATATATATATTCTATATTATATATAACCCTAGACAGTACGAAAGTACTGCTAAAGAACTTCATGTTTTTAAGGCGCACAACAGAATTTAGGCTAGCAGTAGGGGGATCGTGTTTGAAGCTATACTGTTTACTGTTTCAACATTGTTTACTGGTATACTGTTTCAACATTGTTTACTGGTATACTGTTTCAACATTGTTTACTGGTATACTGTTTCAACATTGTTTACTGGTTTACTGTTTCAACATTGTTTACTGGTATACTGTTTCAACATTGTTTACTAGTTTACTGTTTCAACATTGTTTACTGGTTTACTGTTTCAACATTGTTTACTGGTTTACTGTTTCAACATTGTTTACTGGTTTACTGTTTCAACATTGTTTACTGGTTTACTGTTTCAACATTGTTTACTGGTATACTGTTTCAACATTGTTTACTGGTATACTGTTTCAACATTGTTTACTGGTTTACTGTTTCAACATTGTTTACTAGTTTACTGGTCGGTTCGCATCACAGTAAGTTAATCTACGACGGGAATAGAACCCTAGTCGCCATTACAGGTCAGCATACACCGTACACGTCCACTTATGCTGTGATTCCGATGTGTATAATTCACAACTATGATTCATCAGTGCAATTGGTTAAGAATGTAACTTTAAAATCCTATCAGGTGACTTTTCATACGAAAGCTGTATAATGATGACACATTGCAATTTAAAGCGATAAGACTCGATTACCGCAGTTCTTAATTACGATACAATGATCTAGTCAATAGTCATAACAATGATTTCATAAATTAGACAATAGATACTTACCTCAACACGACTGCTTGGCAAGAAGATAAACGTAATTAAACAAAATTAACTTACGCATCATAAGCAAAGGAATGAACAAGTAAACCTGTCAGATATAACAACTCCAAACTCAACTCTAGAAACTAAACATTGGGAGTTCTGGTCTACCACAAAATCTTGCTCAACTCTATTAATTCCAGCCCACGTGATTAAACCAGCGCGACAACAACACCTGCGGAGGTGTCGGAAGATAACAATCAAGAGGACAGCTTGTCTGTCACGTGGCCTAATCACGGATTGTAGTTATGTAGTGTAGTAAAGGGAATATTGAGCGACCCTCCTGTCCACAGAGCTCATGAAGTATTATCTAGCCACATACCTGGGACTTATCGTTAAGCAGATGTGGTTCTCAGTGGCGCACGGCAGAAGTGCATGCTAAAGAAACATAAAATAATATCTTAACATGTCGGCCCCGTAAAGACACCAGTTCGTTAGTAAGGAGAAATGGAAAATGCATTATGTTTGATATTTCTATACTTAACTAATAACTATACATGTTGATTTAGATTTTAGGACGTGAGAAAACCGAAAATAGATCCTTGGTCATTCGTTTTGATGGAATGAACAATCAGAATGAAATGCTGAGCGTTTGAAGTTCAACCGTTATAGGCCACAAAAGTTGATCCTATGCCAATAATCTATAAATACATTAGGTTTAAAGATTTTCTTTTCAGTTATTATGAGTATTCACATCTATTAAGGGGACATATACAAAAAGCTTTTATGTCCCGAACAGGCTGTAACTTCATATTAAGAAAGTATACATTAAAACAATAAGATTTGATACATTAAAAATTATTTTTGAGGAACCGCACTTTCGAAAAAATAAATATTTTCTTTTTCGAAAATTTTGAAAATTTTGAGAAGTCTGTCACTGTTATACCGATATTTCAGTCGTTTTTAACGTTTTTTGGCTGATTTTTTTACTGAACATTACTTACACTCCGTACAAGAAGTCCTTCAAAGGATTTTATAATTAAAATATAGATGACGAAGTTACAGACCAAACAAGGTCGAAAGAAGCAAAATTGAAATTTTTGTAAAAATCAAAGTTGTATATTTTACCATTCACCCAGGTCATAAGATATCGCTTTAAAAATTCTTGTGAGTGTAGCTGATGATCATATCCAACTTTTTGGAACAGGATTTCTCTCAGTTTTGAGTTTTAAGGTATGAAATGTGGCCTAAACGACTTAGTAAAATTCATCGTAAAAGAGGGCCAAACATGGCAGATTTAAGGCTTAAAATGCCTATAACTCTATTAAGAATCCATAGAATATGATGACTTAAGCATTCACTTTCATGTTAGATGTTTTCAAACACTTTTAAATACTCCGGCCGGCAGTGTTTGTAGCGGTGCTTAAACCGGGGGGATCAGGACCATATGATCCCCCCCCCCCCCCCCGCTTAAACGTTAGTTAACACACAGAAACATAAAATGTACATTATCCCACTTTTCTGAACAGTTTCAACATTACTCTGTAACAATTTTACTATCTAATTTCCATATCGAGCTGTGGCACCAATTAAATTTGTGGTCTCCAAATAGCTGGTCCCTAAAATGGAACTTACTGCATCGTCTTGGAGCAGTGTTAAGGCACTCCCGGAGCAGGGTTATATCAGGTTGCACTGGCTTTATAACCCATCCCGATATGTTGTAGTCTTCTTGCAGCTCTCTTCTGAAGAGGAGAATGTGTGAAGGATGTAATTAAACATGGTAATTATTGGGAGCACGTAGCATTTGTCTGTCAATCATTATTACTATTAGCCTTGGTCTTAGAGCTGCGTTTGCATTCACAGCAATCTAGATGTATGGGATCACAATGTTAAATATATGGCCATTGATGTGATTAGAACTAATTATTGAATCAGAAAAATCTTTATACTGGAAATAATTGAAAACTTACTCGACATCTTTTGAAAATTTTCTCGCTTCTGGAGGTGCACTTTTAGGTGGGGCAAATCTCATTTAAACATTTTTAGTAGACTTGGAAGGTAGTTGATGAAATTAAAATAAGTTTGGTAGTTCCTTGATATGTGATAGATCATCCACACAGATTTGTCATCATCCTAGAACATAACTTAATAAGTAATAATAAGAAATGGTAATTTATGTTGCTCAAAATAAATTAACTAAAATATGTAAACAAATAATGAAGTGAAATTTTAAATGTAATTTACATTTTATTTCTTGAACACAAATGATGTTGGCCAGTTGAACTTAACATTATTAATGTTTAAATCCAATTTCATAACTCCAATTACAGTTTAAACTAATATCAGAAACCAGAATCTTAGTAAATTACGCATTGTACAAAACATTTCCATCTATAACCCCCAATAATCCCGAATAACCTTCTTTTCATGACATGATGTAGCCTAAAAATATCATAAAAGTCTTGCTGACAATAGCACAAATTAGTCTATTTAAAATCATCTCAGTACATTCTTTACTATCAGTGAGCTTTAAACTGTTTCCCGCAATATCCGCATGATTTGGTAATACCCTTGTCGAGATTAATGAAGACTTTAGGGTGGCCCAAAGCTCCAAGACCACCACAACACCATGTATGGCTGCTTCCTGTCACAGCAATTGGTTCCTCACCGACCATTTTGATAGCAAAGTTTGGGTTCACTTCCTTTTTCTTTCCTCCAAGGTATCGAGCATTTCTTGGATCTTCGGGAGAATACTCTTGTCCTGTGTGAGAGGTAGTTGACAGCTTGCTAGCAGTCAGTGTTCGATGTAACATCGCAGTGGTAGGGCATATCCGTGTCAAGCGTAACATTCTATTCAATAACAAGTTACTATTAGTTCAGTTGAACAATATATTGCATATATTACAATGCAAAATCGTCAAATTCATATCTTGTAATACATGTAAAACACAATTTTTTAAAGAGGACACAATTTTATTATTGAGGCCAGATAAGAGGGGGGAGGGGGGGGGGGGTAAACATATATTTTTCGTTTTTCACACATGTGAAAATACTGTTGGAGATGAAGTTTTAAAAACCGCATCAAAATCTGACCTTGTGTTCCGATATTGCGTGTCAAATTTTGAGGTTTACCTGTAATTATTAGTAAAACTGAAACTAAAAATGGCTCTCCTGAAATAGGATAAACTTCAACTTTTAGAAAAGACTGGCCACTCTCGAAATTCATCATTCTGTTCTCCCAACAGAACTTTTTGTACACCTCTACGAAAATTTTGAATGATCTATTAAATCTAACCTTAAAAAGCACTTGCTATCCCTCCAAAATCGAGGTGACCCTAATATATGGTAATTAATCTATATTATATCTCAAATTCTACATCCGGTACGGCTCTGCACACATGATATCTCTAATCCTGGACCAGGCAAAAGTCCTGCTCACATTGGGAGGTTCGCTAAGTTTCTCGATGTAATTCGACTTGTATGACCCTAAATAACATAATTGACTCGGGTACACTTTTTCACCAGTGGGGCATTTCTCAGAATCACGCCCTTTTTGACCGCACCCATATCATCTTGGGCATTAAAATGGTCAGAATCATCATATTGAGTGGGGTAGAGCATGGTTTTAAAGTCTTCAGACTTCAGGTTGTTGAGTTATTAGGTCAGGTCCCATTTTAACGCTCTCGCGAGTAGCGATTGATGCACTTATTTCAAGATATCTCAGCTTCTGATTGAAGTTTAGCGCTCATCTTGGGCATTGAAATGGTCAGAATCATCAGATTGAGTGGGGTAGAGCATGGTTTCAAAGTCTTCAGACTTCAGGTTGTTGAGTTATTAGGTCAAATCCCATTTTTACGCTCTCGCGAGTAGCGATTGATGCACTTATTTCAAGATATATCAGCTTCTGATTGGAGATTAACGCTCATCTTGGGCACTGAAATGGTCAGAATCATCATATTAAGTGAGGTAGAGCATGGTTTCAAAGTCTTCAGACTTCAGGTTGTTCAGTTATTAGTTCAGATCCCATTTTTATGCTCTCGCGAGTAGCGATTGATGCACTTATTTCAAGATATCTCAGCTTCTGATTGGAGCTAAGTGTTCATCTTGGGCATTGAAATGGTCAGAATCAATAAATTGAGTGGGGTAGAGCATGGTTTCAAAGTCTTCAGACTTCAGGTTGTTGAGTTATTAGGTCAGATCCCATTTTTATGCTCTTGCGAGTAGCGATTGATGCACTTATTTCAAGATATCTCCGCTTCTGATAGGAGCTTAGCGCTCATCTTGGGCATTAAAATGGTCAGAATCATCATATTGAGTTAGGTAGAGCATGGTTTCAAAGTCTTCAGACTTCAGGTTGTTGAGTTATTGGGTCAGATCCCATTTTTACGCTCTCGCGAATAGCGATTGATGCACTTATGTCAAGATATCTCAACTTCTGAGTGGAGCTGTGGAGATAAGCGTTCATCATGGGCATTAAAATAGTAAAAGTTATCAAATTAAGTAGCATCGAGCATGGTTTTAAAGTCTTTAGACTTCAGGTTATTAAATTATTAGGTTAAACCCTATTTTTATGCTCTTGCAAGAATGGTCACTGCAATGGTGGAAATATTTGTTAAATGAACTGTAATTAATCGCCAGGAAAAAGTTGTTTGCCAAGAAATATCAGTAAAATATCACTAAAACCTCTAGCACTAGGAACATGCTTTACCCCACTTAATATGATCATACTGACCATTTCAATGCCCATGATAAGCACTTAGCTTCAATCAGAAGCTGCGATATTTCGTAATAAGTGTGTCAATCACCACTCGCAAGAGTGTAAAATATGTTATAACCTAATAATTCAACAACCTGAAGTCTGAAGACTTTGAAACCATGCTCTACCCCACTCAATATATTGATTCTGACCATTTCAATGCCCAAGATGAACGCTTAGCTCCAATCAGAAGCTGAGATATCTTGAAATAAGTGCATCAATCGCTACTCGCGAGAGCATAAAAATGGGATCTGAACTAATAACTCAACAACCTGAAGTCTGAAGACTTTAAAACCATGCTCTACCCCACTCAATCAGAATAAAACAAATATTATATTCAAATCTCTTTATTCAACAATATTAAATCATTATAGAACCTAATTTGTGGCTTGATCGTTATGTTAGGGCTATTCTGTTAGCTGATGCTGACAGGCACTGCATGGGGCAGAGACTTAGGACCATTACGCTGGAGGCTTACAATGACCCTTTTTGAACCCCATGGCAGTGCTAGATATGATGATTCTGACCATTTTAATGCCCAAGATGAGCGCTTAGCTTAATCAGAAGCGGAGATATCTTGAAATAAGTGTGATAATTGTTACTCTCGAGACTGCTAGTATAGTAAAATCAGATTTTTGGCGATTTCTCAAAAACTAAGTCTCTTAGGCCTTAAGTATCTTTATAGCACTAACATAAACATGCATCTTAGGCACATTTTGGTTCATAGCTGAGGTCTGTATCTCAATCAGAAGCCGAGATAATTTATAGTGGGGGTCGCGATATGGGTGCGGTCAAAAAGGGCGTGATTCTGAGAAATGCCCCACTGGTGAAAAAGTGTACCCGAGTCAATTATGTTATTTAGGGTCATGTAAGTCAAATTACATCGAGAAACTTAGCGAACCTCCCAATGTGAGCAGGACTTTTGCCTGGTCCAGGATTACTCTCTCTGCCATGAAACATGGCTAACCTTTCAAACTATGATTTAAAACATAAACCTAAACTAAAACTCAACTGGGCTCTCCTATGTCACCAAACTAGACCAATAAGCAATTTTAGCTTAGATAATTATATTTTTCTATATTTGTATAATAAGTATATTGACATAGTGGATGGTTGAGGGGGTTTCAAGCACAGGTCACTCTCAAATCCTAAAGATAAGCAGTGGCCTTCGGCACTTGAAACCTCTTCAAACCTCCCCTGATTTATTTATTATTGATATTGTTTGATTGTGCCGTAAAAATAAATATTTGTTTAATTAAATATTTGTTTTATTACAAATCACACTTTTTAAGAAAGTTAGCCCCATATTTCAAGAACTAATGAAAAATTCAGAATTCTGTTCTTGGGTTTAATTAATGAATATTTTTATGTTTTTTTTTAATTCTACTAGAATCATGTACTAGGCCATATTTCCTGGGGGCCACGACTGTCAACATAATAATAATAATAATAAATTAATGTTATTTTTATACAGCACCAAAAGGTTAAATAATTTAAATTTAACCCTTATGCACAGCTGTAAATGATACTTAAATTAACGAGAGTGTGCATCTTTGCCTTAGACGGAGGTGGAACAAGAAACAGTTCAGAAAACAGGCGATAAAAACTGTAAAATATAACGTGACTAAATATATAAGGCAGATGCACCTAACAAGCAGATATCCAAGAAGGGTTAGCAGGTTTTCTAACAGAGGACTAGAGGAAAGGATAATGACTACAAGAAATCGCAGTATGAAACTCAACAGCCTAACAAAAAAAAAAAAATCAGGTTTATAAAAATGAAATTCCCTGATATATTAAAAATTCTATAAAAACTCAATAAAAATTCCTTAAAAAATCCATAGAAATTCTATAGACTCCAAATATACAAACAATCTGAAGTTTCCAATATACAATAAAAATTGATTGAAGAAGTTTACTGCAGAACAGTAACTGATGATAAAGATTATATCTGAAAATCCAATACAGTCATACCAAACAATCTGGGCAACATAAAAGTAGAGACAGTAAAAAAGAGAAGAAAAAGATGCTCTAGTACTTGAGACAAAATACAAAGAATAAGGTAGCTTTCTCCCGGGTGCCAACACAAAAAATGTTGGTGTCCCAGGATAGAGCCTCCTTTTCCGACCTACACTACAATTTTGTTGGCAGACACAGTGAAACGCAAAAAAAAGATTATTATCTTAAATGTTGCCCAAAAATCCTTGAAAACTAATAGCCTAAAATAATTTAACATGTGCCTTTATCGACCTATTAGAGTAGAACAAAAAGTTATTTCAAACAGCTCTACTAGAAAATGTACAATTACTGCACACTATGGCGAAATAACACATCTGTGTAATGTCTCTTCGGTCAACTCAGCCGAGTGATCAGACATGTGATTAAGTATTAAATAAGGAGGGACCCTGCCAAAAGATCAAGAATCTTCTGTTGTAGTACATCTAGATTGTAGCGTACTGTAAACATAGTACTATACTTTTGACGGCCCCAACGTTAATGTGGATCTTGCTATGTGTTGGTTCAGCCGAATTAATAATTATGTAATCAAGTTTATTTTTATTTTTTAGTTAGTTGTCATCCGGCCAAACATTAAGCAACTTATATTGCAGTACCATTTATCATTTAGTATATCAAAATATGTCAATGTAAATTTGCATGGCTGAAATGTAACGCTTGATTTATTTCTTATAGTTATTCTCCTTTTTGTGTCCATGTCGTTTTGTTTTGTAAATATTTTGTTGTTTACAACATGTAGTAGTGTTTTAAGCAAATATTTCAATCGAATTATAAATAATAACAAACACAAATACTAGACATTTAACTTTTTGACGTGTATTATATTATATATTATGTATTAAAACTTTTACATCCTAATAAGCAATATCAAATATTCAGTAGTATGAACAAGCTGATTTGTTGTGAAAATCCTGAAACAATTTATACGTTTGTGCCCAGCTGATAGCAAGCTTGGGGTGGTGCTTTATAAACAGTATTTGGGGTACTAGTAAAGCTCTTACAGGCAACTGGTTTCTTTTGCCAGCCGTCTTTAGTCAAAGTACTGTCCCATTTCTAGTCTCAGAACGTGCGCAACTAAAATTTTTCTTATGCCAACGTGGAATTACTTGTATCACGTCATAACCTCTTGTCATTGCTTAACGGGTGATACTCGTAAAATAACTGGCCACGGGCCTAAATATTACATATCAATCAATTACAATTCATTAACATTACCAATATTAAAAACTATCGAAAATATTCAAGAAAGTATTCTCTAGCCAAAGGGCTCAATATTTAAATCTAAATCTTCAATATTGTCTGGTTTATATCGCAACTTGGGCCCTCTGTCCCCCCTTATCGAAATAACCGTTGTCTACTCGTAAAATATCTGTTCCATATAATTAGGACCGTCGACGAGTCCAACTCGGCGCGCGTCCTGATAGATTGTAAACCTACAAGTCATTGCACGAAATGGTTTTGTGATGAAAGCCACGAATGACGAAGCCGCACACTCGTGCGCGGCATGCAGGGCTACAATGTGAAACAAGGCATTATAAACTATTTTTATATGAAATTTAAACATTTAGAATACAGTAAGTTGATGAAATATTTTTATAATAACTTTCACTTCTGATTTAAAATTTTTATTTTATTTTCGAATTCATTTTGAATTTTTTTAGGCTCGGCGCCGTCATTAGAAAAAGTAACTAGCACCACGCTTTAATTGTAGGTTTACAACCTACCAGGACGCGCGCCGAGTTGGACTCGTCGACGGTCCTATATATGGAACAAATAATTTACGAGTATCACCCGTTAAAATTTATTAAATTCCTTTTAAATTCCTGGATAAAAATTTTAAAATACAAAACAGTTAAAAATTTTTAATTTTGAGCGTGTTTTATTTTTGATGCAATGGTGCATTGGGTGGGGACAATTTTAATGTATACAGTGTATGGTGTAGTTTATGAAAAAAAATTGTATGTATTTAATTATACAACTATGGCCTGGCCACAACTATTTTAAATTAAATTAACATTTTAGGTGTGCCGCGCATAATTTCGCCAATTTACACCATATCATGAAATTCAAGCGCTGAAGCAAATATACTGTCATATTTTCACAATTGCATTAAAAGTTTTATTGTTTATGTAATTGTTACATTTTAAAACTCCTTTTGCCTCATATCAATTTGAATATTGTTCCGGTGTGTTATTTTATAAATAACCATTTTATTGTGTAGCCTCATATTCATCATTGATATGATGTAAAGTTTTCATCTATTCTAATTCCCATTGTTTTATTATATGTTTTATCCCCTAAAAGTTGACTCTACATTAACATACTTTTAATCTGCATCATGCTTTATCATGATTGGTTGAAACTGAATTGCTTTATAGATTATTTACGGTAACATTATTAGAGATGTAATATTTGGCGGAATTAGAGAATCAAAATTTTTAAAGGGGTTGTGGCGATTCCGAAATATTCAATGAGCTGAGTTCATATTTTAAATATTTTCGAAGTTACCTTTTGCTGAATGCTCCGTTTTGATCATTCAATATAATCGCTCAGCTTTTCCTTAAATCCTGAAAGTTGATCAGTAAGCGGTAAGCCCAACATAACTCGTGGAGGTGCAGCCAGTGGGTTACGTTGCATCGTGATGAATTTACCGATTCACCGTGGTAGACGGTTTAAATTTATATAGGGTCATTGCATTGCTGATATTATATGTTATATGTATATTGTTTGAATACTATTTAAGATAAATACTATTTAAAATTTTTTAAATTCACGGTGCATTTCAGCGAAACAAGTTTTTAAAAACATTTATTATTATTTGTATGCTAAATAAATATATTAAATAAATTCTAACATTTATTACACGTTTCGACATTAAAATATACCTAACAAAAATGTACATTCAAGTCATTCAAGCGAGACTTTGTGTGGAATTATTAAGATGATGCACTTCTTTATCAGTTCAGAAATGATGGACAAATATTACGAATTAGTATCAAGAAAACAACAATTTTTCAAGAAAACAACAAACGTAAAGTATGTAATTATCAAAACTATGCACTCTTATATTATTTTTAAATTAACGGTTTTTAACTTTTTAAACTTTTTTATATGTAAATAGATTATGACAATTATATTAGTTATAGAATTTGTTTGTTTTTAATGACGAAGGCTGTGAAATGTTCACAGTTCTGATAATGAGGAAATCAGAAAGAATGTTTAAAACTAGTGATGATGTTTATGTCATTATTCTTAATCTAATCTAATCTAATCTAATCTTATATCAGTTCAGACATTGTGGACAAATATTTGGAATATTATCTCTCTGTATTTAACTAAAACCTTATTTTGTCTTTGTACATGCAAAAACCTAGGAACATGTTTTTATTTCTTGCAAGAAATAAAAAATGAAGGCACCGATTCACAATTTTACTTCCATCCCTTAGATGCTCATTTACTAAACGATTTGTTACAGGCTGAACTGTCTTTTAACTGTCTTTACCATATGTTTTCACACTCAAGTTTCCAAGAGTAAGCACAACCCCCGCTTCTATCATCAGTGTCGTCTCTGAACCCTGCTGTCCAGGCCCCATTAGAATAGCCACTGCACGTGGCTCTGCTGCCCTGTTCATGATACAGATTATTATTGGGGTGCTACGGTTGAACTAAATTTGTGATGTCAAGACCTCTGGAAATGCTTAAATTTAGTATACCATTAGATGGTTTGAGGACCTATTTCAGGTACATTGCTCAGTCCAGTTGCTGTGATTAAGAGTAATTTAACAGATCTTGCATATTGACAATACCTGGCATTGGCTGGAACCTTCAGTCTCTCTAAAACATACCCTACAGATTTGTGGGATATTGTTTGCACTGGCCTGCTCTTCAACTTTCCAGCTGTAGTTACATCCCCCACCTCTGTTATCGGTGTCGTCATGGAATGGTGCTGAAAAGTGTGGGCAACTGCTGCTCCAACCAGTACATGTGGTTCTTGATCCTGTGATTTTTATGATGATAAGTTAATACTTTACTTTACTTTGACTCTAGTACTCCAGGACAACTCTGAATGTCTAACAACACTTCACTATGTTGCAGTGTAAATTAGCTGGTTAATTCATGTGTTAATAAAGACCACTCATTAAAAAGATGCTCAATTTTACCAAGATTCAAATTTACAATGTCTTCATATTAGTAGATTAAGGAAAACAAATACAAACTTTGACATTGAGAGCCTTGAGTAATTTAACAAACCTTACATATTGACATTACCTTGACATTGGCTGGAACCTTCAGTCTCCCTAAAGCAAACCCTGTACTCCCTGTTCTTTGCAGGCATATGCTTTTCTATTGACCAATGGTATTGACAGCCTCCTCCACGACCATCTGTGTCATCTCTAAATCCTGTAAATAAAAAGTTGTCCAAATTACCCAGATTGCATCTTCCATGTTGATTTTTTTATCATGGTTAACCTTATGAAAAAATACTGATTTATTAGTTATAATAATAAGCTCAATGCCAGTCCATAAAAATGTTGAGGTCTATCAGAATTTAAAACTCTAATTACCAGGTTATTACTTAATTACCAGGTAATTAGAGTAATTACTTAATTACCTGCTGTCCATCCACTGCAGGTGTTTCTATTACCTTGACATTGACTGCTACCTTCGGACTCCCGGAAACATATCTTCAGACCATGAGCACCTGTATAGTAGTCGCAGTTTTGTAAAGATGATAGCTAATTTTGTTTTCATGTTATCATTTATCATTAAAACATTGTTATAAAATATTGTTTTTAATGTTTTTATTCAGGATGGAACTGTTCAGTATATTTTGAGCAAATTGAGTAACAACTAACAAGGTGAACATGTTTTTGATCCCTATCAAGAGTTAATTTATTGTTTATGGAATGTTTCTTTTGAAAAGTTGAAAGTAACAAAACTACATCATTCAGACTAGAGAGCAACTTTATCAACATTAATAATTAGTGGGATGAAGCTCCAGATAACTTAGCACACAATTACTTACCACAGCTACTTGTTTCATAACATTGCTGTGTCTGTTCCCTTGACCCTGAACATTGTCTTCCTTCGTTAACTGGTGTTGGGTTGGTACATGATCTGGACCTCCCCTGGACTCCACGACCACACGTGTTTGAACATTGTGACCATGCTGTAAAACCGCTCCAACCACCGTTAACTGATTCGGAGGGAAGAGATAATATAATCATTAATTTATGTAGTATACATGTAATATGTATATTAGGAGTACTATGTGCCAATCTATTTTACTAGTGCAAAGAACATGCAGCTCATAAGTTGTCAAATTGTAGGATTTACTTTGAAATACTAAAACAATCCTACCTGAGTTTGAAAGCTGCCAGCCCTAGTAGTACTGCCGTGATACTCTCAACAACAATTAATGATAATTTGTCCATTACTCACAAAAGATAGTAAAGTCGAGAAATAACCTCTGCTCTATATTTGTCCTATAACTATAGCAGTTAGACTGACTTGGTTAAACCCACCAGGTGGGTATGGCGGTGATAAACATTACAGAAGATAAACCTATATAAACAATATGTCCTAGCCAGTTGCAACTGTAACAACCAGTTGTTACTTGTGAGTTGTGACAACTTTAATTTTTGTGGCAGGTATCAACGTTGTTTACCATCTGTTCGAAATAATTTCATTTTCTTGCTAGATGTTAAATTGGAGGGGTAAGGAGATTGCAAAAAAACTATTCTAGGGCTTCACGTTAGAGATTTTCTAAATGAGGATTTCTAAATGAGGATCTCTGACCGGACCACCCCATATCAGAGACCAATGGGAGCTTCTTAATATAACAAATTCACACTAACAACATGAAAGTGTCCTCATCGAACAAATTTATATCCTACCTGCGCATTTTCGGGATTCATCAGCATTTCCTTCACAATCAGCTTCACCAGACATTGTGCAGGATCTTCTCCTTGTTTGAGACCCTCCCTGACATGATGACCATGCTCCATAATCAGTCCAGCCTAGTTTATGCAACGAGATAATATCTCGATAAGTTTATCAGCAATAATTGGGTCGAAATTGTCATGATCATCGGTTTATTTCGATAATTTGGTACCGATATTGATAACTGATAAAATTAAACAAAGATTCCTTGAACTAAAATATAGAAATTTACGATTTAATCCCCATAAAATATACTATTTCTTACTATATGAACAATGATTATTATATGAACAATGATAATTGAGTAGAGCTTATCATATGGAAACTGAGTCGCCATTTGTAGAACACATTTAAAAGCATCGAACAAATTAATATCCTACCTGGAAATTTTTCAGTGTTACATTTTTGGGATTCCTCAGCTTTTCCTTCACAATCAGCTCCACCAAACGTTGGGGCAGGGTTACTGCAAGATCGTCTCCTTATTTTATTTCCTCCCCCACATTTCCTTGAGCAAACTATCGCGGTCCATTCTCTGTAGTCAGTCCAACCTCCATCAATTGGGGGCTGGCAGGAGTAGTCACACTTTTTCAAAGTTCCCTCAAGCTTGTGACATTTCTTCGTGGCCTTCTTGCTCAATTTTCCTTTTTCCATCTCGCAACTAATAGATGATTTGAATCCTTTCTTCAGACATTTGCCTCGGTACTGCTTTATCTTCTTTTGGATTGCTTTCTTTTTAAGATTGCACTTGCTTGAAGATGTCTGCGATAGCACTGCAGTAAAAATGACAACAACAATGAACGTTAAATTACTCATTACTTAATCTAAACACAAAACGTTTTAATGAGAAACTATGGCAGATAAAAAGAAGTTAAACAACATCCCATTTGGTTGGGCGCTGACTAGAGGCACACTATTTGAATCTGTTACGTAGAAGGGATGGGGCCGGCGGGGGGGGGGGGATTGGAACCAGAAAAACACTGGCCCCCCCCCCCCCCCTGCCTAGTTGATAATTGATTCTAAAGAAAAATTATGTCGTTAATTTGATTATCATTTAAGTTTCAATACAACTGAAGTTACTAAGTTGTGACGTATTAAGACTTTTTTCATACCTCAACACAGATAATATAATTTGCTACTTTTAACACTCATTGTTCGGCATCGTTAGACACTGCTCGAGCCTCAATTGTAAAGATATTATGTAGCCCAAGTCCCCCCCCCCCCCCCTCGCGGGTCCCTCCCTTTATATTTCTATTTATAATTAAACTGTGTTTTAGCAATATGAGAACACACGATTCTACCCCACATTTACCAACAGTAGGCATTGGAACCTTCCAACTAAAGAGTGGGACTGTTATCCGTGATGTCCTACATTCAGCTCTCTCAATCGGTATTAGACTCTTCGATACTGCTCAGTGCTACCGAAATGAGGAGCTCATCAGTCAATCTCTGATTAGTCTCCTTCCTGACTTCTCTCTAACCCGATCTGATATAACTATTGTCAGTAAACTTGACCCTAAGAATCAGGGAACGGAAAAAGCGGAAGCAGCCGTGGAGAAGACTTTGGAGTGTTTCGGGGGATATGTTGATGTGATGTTAATACACTGGCCTGGGGTTAGCAAGATGAAATCAGACGACCCACAAATTAAAGTTATTCGGAAGGAGTCCTGGAAAGTTCTGGAAGATTATCAGGTTAAGGGTAAAATAAAACATATCGGAGTCTCTAATTACACTGTATATCATCTTAAAGAGCTTATAAATTATTGTAGCATCAAACCAACTGTTCTTCAGAACGAATTTCATCCTAGATATCAAGAACTTGATGTTTTGGAGTTTTGCCAGGAACACGGTATAAAGTTCATGGGCTACTCACCATTCGGGCAGGGAGACTTGTTATCAGATAAAACTATTGTCGCAATAGCTGAAAAGCACCATGTGTTACCATCCAATGTTTTAGTTCAGTGGGCTTTACAGAGAGGCGCCATTTGTATTCCCCGGACTACAAAACCTGAGCGAGTAATTGAAAACTTGGAATATTCGAGCTTTATTTTAGACAGTGATGATATGCAGCAGATGGCGCGGTTAAATGATGGTCACAAGTTTTGTTGGGATCCTCACAGAGTCGTTTGAGGTCACGTGATTTGTGTCGTAGTCGTCATTTAATATTTTCTTATTTTGTTATGGATTTAATTTTTAAGGCCAGATTTTTCATTTAGGTTTCAAACCGCATAGCTGATTGACTTGGGAAGTTTTCAGATTGGAACGTTGCTTTTTAGGAATGCTATATAAAACGATATTGATTTGTTGATAGGAAGTACCAACGTTTCAATGTGTCTCACGATACATTTTTATGTTGTTTAATTATTTGTAATACACTATAGACTTTAGAGTATTGTTGAATATGTACTTTGTGAACATGAAACGTTGAAACTTTCTTCCAAACAGAACTTGACTAACATGATATGTTGCCAGATAAGTTAATTTCCGTGCTACCATCACTAATTGATTCGTTGCCAATTTGAGGATATCTATTTAATGCTAGTAATAATTTGAGTCTAATCACATTTCATCTCCATTATTTCATCATTTGCAGTCAGATGCAGGTTTACTGGACATTATGAGTGTTCAAGTTTTGTTTAAAATCGTGTTTTGGTTTTAAAGACAGTTGTTTTGGAAATGGTATTTTGCTAACAGCGATTGTTTGGGTTTACAATTTACATGATGCAAGTGCAGGTTTGGGTTTACATGATCACGTGATATTAGAATTCTCTAACTTATTTGGTTTCCGATTTTTGCATTCTACTATACTATTCACATTTTATTCATGCATATGTGCTTAAGTTCTAAATTCATATCGTGAAACAAACTCTGCTTTCTTCAAGAAAATAGTAATCCTATCAAACTTGCTGTACACTCATCCCACATATCCATTTTAAACATCGTACCTGCATCGATATTACGAACGATTTCGATAAAACACGATCAAACAGAAATATCATTATCCAACGTTTACACTGTAAACGTAACAGCTGTGCTTGATCGTGATTAAACGATTACAATATCTGCATATATTCTGGTTTCGTGCTCATCAACCGCCGGACCGTTAATTTTGGCGTCTACCCGACCGCCCACGCGCTATTATTTTGTTTAATGGCGTATGCGCTGTGGGGGAAATTAGCGCGCCTCGCGCGCTAAAACACGTCGTATTGTTCATTTCAGCGAGCATGCTTGTTGTATTGCCACGTAATTTCGTTAGCTGACCCATTTAATGTTTTACATTGTTTATTCTGTCCATTATTTTAAATTTCTAACCTGTTATTACCACACAGCTAGCATCATGATGTTCGAGGGGTTTCTGTTTGTTATCCACCTATTTTTACACACTTACTGTCAACTGCAAGTGGTTGCTCAGTGTTTCATCAACTTGTTAAGGTTAGTATTTTTAATGGGCTTTTACTTAGCCCACACTTTTCGTTACTGCGACGACTTTTGAGTTGTCAATAGTTAGTTCCTACGTACCTTTAATCGGTTCCCAGATATTTGTGGTAATTTGTAGTCCTTCTCGAATCTCGACAAATGATTAATTTGGTGAATTCCGATACTGGCACTTTTGCGGTCAATGCAATCGAATTTAAAACGCATCTATAAAAATGTTCGAAAATACTTTTAGATTCGAAATTCACCGTTAATTATTCGGTTTACAGGTGGTGGAGGGTGAATAAGTGGAATGCGGATATCTTCCTCAACCAGACGAAAAACCTGGGGAAAATACCCGGCCACGTCTCTCTCATGTTCTTAGAGGAGGACACCCCAGTGGAGGATATCGTTAAACCGATAGTTTGGTGCATTTGCTTGGGTGAGGAAAGCTTGAAGTTGAATTTCCTTTTATTTGTGAAATTTTTGTGAACTTTCTATTTTGGTGGGCGTAGAAGTTTAGAAATGTGCCTAGTGCCTACATTCTACCACCATTTAACTACAAAATTCATACTCTCATCAAGATCCACCTAACCTGAACTTAATACGACTAAAAAACAACATCTCTATAAGTTACTATACTTACAGGCGTTACTACGATCTCTCTGTACGACTACTACGGCAGACTACGTTCCAAGAAGTTAGATATTGACAAGGAGCTCCGGGAGTACTACTCTGATTTTACTAAAAACTGTAGAAACTCGCCCAAGAACCAGCCTTCACCGAGGATACAGTTTGTCAGTGTTGAAAACGGTAGAACTGACCTTGTTTATGCAGGTATGGTACAGTAAAGTTGCTGTTCTTTTCAGGAATTTGATCGTGATTTGATACAGAATGGATGGGTATACCCGAGGAATATCATTCGCACTATTATTATAGGCTTAAATCTTACTTATAATTCAGAGAATTATTTTTGTCTGTATGTATGTACGACCGCCCACGTGCAAATCCGACGAGAAATAGGAAGTTGCATAGCAACCATGGTAACGGTGTTAAAAGTGCACTTGCACGTGCAATGATTGTTTTAACGTCATTTTGATCGGTTTTGTGGAAATTACGTTGTGTTTAAATTGTTTACATTTAAATCGGCTGTATCTTCTGTTGGAATGAATATTTCTGTATGTGATTTATTTCAAATAATACTATTAGCTTCCTCCCTATGACCACGGGTTTTCTAGTATAATATAAAACTAAAATTTCAGCTCGAGATATAGCCCAAGATCTGCTGAATGGAGTGGTAAAAGAGGTCACCAAAGTAAACTACCAAAATTATCACAAGGTTCGATTCCAGCCGATTCGCAGCATCCTTTTGTTTAAGATAGAGTATTTAAAATGCAGTCAATACAAAAACCGACTGTCTTTATTTTCTGATTTAGGTGTTACAAAAACATTCCCTCTTTACTCAACCTATATATAATATACTTCAATTCCGCAGGTGTTTCGTAACGACCACCCCGATCTAATGATGAAGTTTGGAATCCACACCACGCTGGCCGGGTACCCACCATGGCCCGTCCATCTCACTGAGATCATATCTCTTCCCACCTGTCATATGATATCCCCCTACAACTTCTTAGACTGCCTCAACAGATATTTTAAGATTGAGAAACGTGTCGGAAAATAGCAGTTTATTTAAATAGTTAAATTGATGTCGCTTTGTGATGTTTTTCAAGCGATATATGTGTATTTTAGAATTAGTTTCAGTTAGATATCGTTATAATGATATTTATGCCAAGCCGTTCACATATCACGTCATCAATTAGGATCATTACCCCAAACTTTCCCTAAACTGTCAGATGTTCAGCATTTGACTTAAAGTCGTGATAATTTGCGTGACGTACCTTACAAGGGGGGGGGGGGTACCAATGGCATAAATGGCATAATGGAGAATTGGCCAAACAAAATTTCCATTTATGCCATGAAATTTCTATGCCATTTGATGATTTTTATGCCATTCTTCTCCATTCTATGCCATTCGAAATATGAAATTTTAAAACTTTGAACTAAGAATTTAATAACGAATAGTCTGCACCCCACTAGTTCTGTCCACCTTTATCTCTATTTGATGTACTGACCCTGGTCATTAGAAACACCCCTAAAAGTTCGTTTTTTGACAAAAAATTTAAAACTTCTGTAATTTCATTTCTGTTTTAGTTACGCATTTGATTTTTGGTATGCGTATAGAAAATCGATACGGCTTTAAAATGAGATGTTCGGCGACCTCCTAGCTCACTCACTAGACTCAGTAGGAGTGATTTAACTGCGAGGGACAATTGAGGCTAACAAATTAGCCTCACCACTTTCAAAAAAGAACTTTCTCATGTTACGTCCATGATATCCAAGTTGCAAGTATAATCCATAGTGATTATACTTGATCGAGATCTAAGCTTTAAATATTCGAGGTGAAAATGAGGCTAACCACCTTTTGAGAGGGTGAAATGAGGCTAACAAGTATACTTTTGTGTATATTTTCGAGCATGTTCGGTATTGTGACTATCTAATGTGTCAACAATAAAAATTTATTCATCCTCTTCAAGCTCAACATTTCAGAAATCGCAGAGTCTTCTTGTAGGAGGCCAAAATGAGGCTAATAAATGATTCGACCGCATTTTAAGTTTAAACTTTAATGTACGGAAACATGTTATAGACCCACTATAAAACTTGTAATTGTAGCCCGAAGGTTATTGAGACTTTATCGAAACTTATGTGAGGTTGGATTGAGGCTACCTTCCCTCCTTGAGGCAAAATTGAGGCCAACAGATACACTACGCAGACAATTGTCACTGTGCCAGCTATCAAGTAGTTGCTGAGCAGCAGCAGCAGTTAGATGAAGAAAATGAAGTTGAGGAAGGAAATGTATTAGAGCTGTTGGCTAGAGTAGGCCCCTTACTTCTATGTAGCTCTCTGGCCAATTGCTCTGGCAATGCTCTCCCTGGGGCCATGTAATATCACATGATCTGATATCATGCCAAATTAGACTCTAAACTATAAAGTATAATAAAAATGGAACTGTTTGAGAAAAACATTTTTCGTTACTTGGAAAGAGAATACTTACTCAGCTGTCAGCATAACGAATCAGACGTACCTTGATCTTATATGTACTTGTGACGGTCTTGTTTTGTATTTAACTCTGCTGAAGAAGCAATTCCCTAATGCTGAAATCGTCACTTATTACCTTGGAAGTGATCAGAATGAGCAGCTGTTTGCATTTATTCGGGTTTCTTTTTCATCTGGTCGCTCAAGAAATATGGATGCGATAACTATGGCCCATGGAATGGAGAGAAATAATGTGTACAGTGCTTTATCATTACATGAAGACACATCTGCAATTGCACATGCACGTGGAAGTACAGTTTTGCATCCTACAGTTCACCTCAAAAAGGTTAAATCTACAGGCCAGAAAGCAGAACGAGTGAAATGGACTGGTGGTATGATAAGCCTAGGCAAGTTGGGAAAAACGCTGGACAGGGCATCGAGGGACTGCATTCGAGAAGGGAAAAGATACAATTTCCCTGTGTTCGCCGCAGTCGCAGATCCTGAAGAACGGAGTGGGAAGCCAATCGTCCATGGCCAAGAACTTTCTTGGGAAGCTGTAGATGATGAAGCTGGATGCCTCGAGGATGAGGACGACTTAGCTTATAAGGTAGAACCTGGAGTTGATGATTGTGATGATGGAGAAACGATATCAACAGATAAATATGGAACACTATCCTTCCGGTCTTTTGAGACACTCACGCTCAATGGAGGAAGAAGCACTTTATCAACAAAATCTCGTCTTTCAAGATTCAAGGGGAACGCGTTTGGAGTGTCTTCTGATGTTCGCATATACAATCAACCTGAATGCGGATGTTCAACAGTTTTGAAAGCTGGCAGTACAGAAACTCTTAAAGTCTTCAAATCTCAGCAGGACTTTGCAACAGGAGTGGTTAGATTTATTTCTTTTAAGTCATGCCTGATGAAGTACTACTGCCAGGAACATAGCCTAATCAATGGATCTCCTAATGTTTGGCTACTCGTCGAAGACAAATACATCAGATGCATTGTTCCTTGATGACATTCAAAATCGTTGTGTTGTCAATGTTTGTATTCTGTACATTTTGAACATCTCACAATTTGCTTTTCTTGAATAGTGAAATGTTTGGTATATATTTGGTATATATTTGATATAATACATTTCTATTTTCTTTATTTAGTTATTTGTCATATGAATCTTTGACTTTAACGATCATTCCAAGCGTTATAAAGCATGAAACATGTCTCTTATTCAAGTACTAATAATATTTGCGAATTTAAAGTCATCCTAAAGGTCAAATATGAAGACCTAAATAATGGCATAAATTGGCATAAATGGAGAATTGGCCAAACAAAATTTCCATTTATGCCATGAAATTTCTATGCCATTTGATGATTTTTATGCCATTCTTCTCCATTCTATGCCATTGGTACCCCCCCCCCCCCCCCCCCCTTACAAGACATATTTATAACGTACGAAATGTGGCGGTTTTCCGAAAATTTCGCCATATTTTCGGACCGCCAAAATTTCGGTCGTCGTAATAGAATCCGTCGCATTATCTTTTAGCTTATTTCAATGACTGTGCATTCACTGCTTTATTTTGTTTCTAAAAAGTAATATCAAGTAAAATAAATAAATATATTCTGGCATCTTGGGACAAATTATCACCACACCAATGACGAATTGAATGTCAAGCAATACAGTTTAAATTTGCATTAAAATACATGTATGTGCTAACATGAAAGTCTTACAGTCTTAATACAGACTAAGTTTGAACATGATTTTACCGAATTTCAGAAATTTCCTTACTGCTTACTGTCACAAAAAATGATGAAAAATACCCTTATTTTCTGTGACGTCCGAAATTTGACGGTTTTTGTTCAATTTCGCCATATTTTCGGACCGCCAAAATTTCGGTCGTCGCAAATTAGGCCGCCATAAATATGTCTTGTAAGGTATACTGTATAAGCATTGAATTTTCTCCCATCTATTATGATGCTTACACAATATAACAGTCCCTTCTGGTTATAATTTCTTTTTACGAGTGATTTCTCTTGACCCGTACCTTGCTTTTTTGCGACGAAGAAAGTGAGGTATGTTCAATGAGTATTGTTAGTTGAAAAAAAGTTATAATAATGAAAAAACAGTATCGGTTCTATTTCGAAGTATGTGTTTTAAAATCAATGCTGTTAGTGTAATGATTTATTTTTTGGAATTAGTATACATTTATTAAATAAAAAGTCTTACTTTTCTTGTCAGACACTGCCCCACGGCGAAGAGGGTGCATACGAAGCCATACAATAATCACAGTGCTGGCAAGCATGACCGTTGCCCTTACACCTCCTATACTATTATGCCCCCTTTACTATTTTTCCAGGAATTAAGACTCATCGGAAGTTGTTCAGCAGGTTGCATTTACCAAAGCGACTGCAAAAAAAATTCTCGAGTTTCAGGAGTATCGGGATTCGGGAAGGGAGTTTTCTGGAAGCGCCTGTATACTATACAGTAAAGTGTAGTCATGTACCTACGTACTACATACTACATACTACTAGAAGTCCAAGTCCGTTAGATAATCGCTCATCTAAAATTTAAAACAAAAATCGAACACCCTGTATTTTTCATCCTGTATTTTTCATCCTGTATTTCTCAATTGTGATCCTCTCCGTGTCAGTGGTTACTTTGAAGTAAGACTTAAAGAAGAAATGAAGTACGAAAATTACACAAGATTTGGAATTCATGACAAAGCTGAAAGGTATGTTCTCAGTGCATACACGTCCTTCATTTTCCTATCATCCCTGATAGGAGACACCCTAATCCTTATCGGATCCATGAGGTACAACGCTATAAAGCTCCACAAGATAATGGTGGTATTTATCCAGTACATCGCTGTCGCTGATTTGGTTTGCTCCATCGTTAGAGTCCTGCCTGGTGCAGTTTCACTTGTTGCCAATGGCTGGGTCCTTGGTGACTTCCTTTGCTCTGCAGGATTCTTAATGTCTTGCAGCTTTGGGGGAACAATCGCTCTTCTCATCGGTGCCCTTACATTTGCCAAGTTCCTGATCGTGAAATATCCACTGAGAGCAGTTCATTATTCAAAGAGAACAGGCCATCTGACGACCCTGGTCATGTTTTCATGCATGTCCTGTTTTGGAGTGCTCTTGACTGCCGAAAAGGGTACTTACTTCAGCTACGTGAGCTACAATTGCGACTATGCACTTCATAAGTCCAAGATTGATTATGTCTTTGGAGTAGTTATGGGAGGAGTCGGACTCATCACTACAGGGATCATCACAGTGAGCAGCGTTATGGTACTACTCCTGGCAAAGAAAATTGCTGATAGAAGAGCTGGAGGTCTCCAATGGCAGGGGATCAGAACGGTCCTTCTTACTGTGGTAGTTTATGCCATAGCAACTGTCCCGTTAGCTGTTAACTTTTCGGAACGTCCAAAAAGCCAGCCACAGTCTACTTCCACCTCTTACATCGCATATATTAGGTTTGCAATGTTCATATTGTATCTGAACACCACTGCTAACTTCTACATCTACACAGCCAGTCTCACCAGCTTCCGGGAGTTCCTGAAGTCTAGGATCAGGGTGGTGTTTGCTTCCATCAGGAGACGTTTTGTTTGCAACGAAGATCAGCTCACTGCTCAGCAGGGGAGAGAGCGAGAAAGACTACTCCCTTAATACTGAAATGTTGTCTCTCACCCAGGTCTTACGACCCTCCTTGCTGGTCTATGACTTGCTTCTTATCGAGGGAGAGAAGTGGGTGAAATGCGCACAATGTACATGGCAAGACATTTTAGAAACCTTTGCAATGCATCCTTTGCAATGCCCTTTGGCTTTAGTTCTTGATACTGTCTGATGGTGATAAAATAAATAACTTTATGAATTGAAGAAAATAAGTATGTTGTATAATTGTCATTTTAGGCCATTAGTAGAGGCTCTTACGGGCAAAAAGACGTTTTTCTGCTACGATTTTAGAGACCTAACCGCTAATTGGACACAATAGTATGATGTCTAAGGATCGATAATATGTTAAGAAGTATAAATTTGGCCTTATTAGTCACGTGCTATACCAATGCGCGTTTTAAACTTTGACAGTCTATTACTCTAAGGCAAATAGAGCAATTATATTCATATTTTGTCAGCAATAAGATCACATTATTTTCTATTTAGTGTGAAAATATGAGCTAGAACGGACATAATCTCGCTGAGTTATAGCTGTTTGAAATTTATGATGAACGCGCGGGTGCCAATTGATAACAACTAAATGCTTTTGCGCGTAGTGCGCGTCGAAAATTTGGCAAAAACGCTTGCGGAGTGACAATATTCAAACTTCGATAAAGTATATATAGTGGGTACTTCTCGGAAAGGAAAAATTTAGGCAAACACGATGTGACTATTTTTGGGTTGATTTAATACAACTGCAAAAAATTATTCAAACTTCAAGCAAAAAAAGTCAAATTTTTACCACTTTTTTGGATTTTTACCCCCAAAAAAATAGAGAGATTTTTCAAATTTTTATATCATCTTGTGCGGCTGTGTTTTAGCTATCTCCATGCAAGTTTTGCCGACATGCCAACAAAATTAACTTGTTCAAAATATCAAAAAACATGGTTTTTTGGCATATTTTTTGCCCAAAAATCGGTTTTTTGCTATTTTACCCCCAAAAGGTCAGTCCAATCATCTTAAAACCACTTTTAATCGATTCTACGGTCAAAAATACGTCTAGTAAGGTGTATCTGGGGTCCCTAGCGTATCGAGCAGACGATGCCCGTAAGAGCCTCTACTACATGCGTTGAAGTTGTATTTTTGATAAGCTAAATTAAAACAACAATTTGTTTTGCCAGACTAACTCATTTGATTACTATTAGCAATTAGTAAGTATTATCATTACTTATTTTTTTTAATCAACTATATACTTTCGTCAAGGTTAAATTTAAAATTTATGCATTTAGCTCTTTAGTGTTTGATTGACGATGTCAACCCATCGAGATCGTTGCTCCATTGTCCATGCGAAGCAGAGCAACGATCGACGATGCGAAGCAATAATGCTAGTTTGAATTTGCGTGTCGAAGCGGCGAAGTCCTCCGATCTAGTGTTGAGTGTATAAAATTAAAAACTTGTGGGAGGAGTATTTTTATTGACAATGTCAACCCTTTCAGATCGTTGCTCTGCGAAGCAGAAATGCCAGTTTGCGCGGCGCGGCGAAGTCCTTCAAGGTGTATTATAATGCAAATGGCCGGCGTGCACGAGAGGAATACAACGTGTAGCAAAGATTGAAAGATTAGGTAGACTGGCAGGCTGAATGACAGGATGAGCGCCGCGCCAAGTAAGAGAAACAATGAATGATAAAAATGGGCCCATCCCAGTGCAGTCTAACTATAGGTTTGTATCACGTTGCGACCCCCACGGTCGTTTCACTTTGGTGACGATACAGGGGGAGCCGCGCACTTCGTGCGCGGCGGGTCATACAACGTATGACAACTATAGGTTTGAGGTTAGGGTCAAGGAATTAGGTTTAGCCAATCAAAGTATACACGGTACGCGACGGGTGTACGTGTTGTAGCGCGCGCGATACTGCGCCGCGCATCCAATAATGCTTCTCAGTTCTCGCATAATTCGGCGCGGCGAAATGCGCTACTGGGCCTCACCGAGCTGCGAAGAATTGACATCGCGATCGTCAATAAATAACTGGTGTTATTTGAAGCGGGATAGATCGGCATGGGCTCGCTATGCCTATAGTTGATAATGGCGCCCAGTTACCTGGCACACTTGTAGCGCGATGTAATATTTATTATTTGTACTGATTCAAAATACATTTCAACATATTTGACTCAGATTGATGAAGTTTTGAAAAGTTTATTACGAGCAATTGAGTTGTTGTGTGTTGGTTTATAACCTACCAAGACGCGCGCTGAGTTTAAAGTTGGACTCGTCGACGGTCTTAATATTTGAAACAAATATTTTACGAGTAACACCCGTTAACAATCGAGGAGTGTGCTTTTTGTTGAGATAAAATCGAGTGTCATTCAAAATTGAACCCAGATCGAACAAGTAAAGAAACTAAACACCTATTCTCGAGTCATCAACTATTATATTTATACATCAAATTTGAGCTTAGTCTACCGAACTTTAAATATGATAAGCGTTTTAAGGCAAATTAAAAGCAGTTTTATCATTCATATCATTGAGATTATTTCGCCAATAATTTAAAGTTTTGTATAAATACAATCACATACGAATCTCAGCCTAAATCACGAACCGAAGATTTGTTCCAAAATTACTGATATTTGACCACCCAATTCAATATACTCATCATATCCATAGGAGTAAATTACTCCAACTAATTTCAGATTCATCATTCAAATATTGGAACATAGCAAATTCTTCATCAATCCTTAAAAATCAAATTAGACAGTTTAATTGGCTAGAAGGCATGCGTTTGCAGTGAGTAAGGGACTCGAAAATATGGTCACAGTTTTGAAACGATATCATACAGGGAAAGTATGTCATCAAATAGCATAAATTTAATTCAATAACAAAATTATGCTGATCTTATCATAAATTGGCTTTTTATCAAATTATAAATATGTAAGATAAAAATTGGCGAAAAAACGTTACTTTATATGGCACCATTCACTTTCATATGGCTTAAAAATACTGCGATATGTTTCGATACCATGCAAAAGGTCAGTACCAAACAATCATGACAAAGAAAATAATAAAATTTCTTAATATGCTTGAAGTTGAAAAAAATGGGGGAAAATCTTCAGCGACAATAATACCCAATGTTTAAAGTAAAATATTGGATTAAAAAATACCCAACCTTCATCATAATATTAATTCATCATACTATCTTAAGTGGGCGATATTTTGAGTTAGAAAAATGTCTCAGCCTCAAAAATTTGATTTACATTCGCAGTTTGACATGCAAGAAAAAAAAGGTTATAAAATCAGTGCTACCTGAGCGGAAGCAAGTTCTCATAAATGTCATTGACATGTCTCGGTATTGGCTCGCTCTGCGCAACAGAGGGCACCGAGTCTAGGGTCCCCGTGCGACGGGCATCAGCTAATAAATGATCACCATGGGAAGCGTGACGCGCAATGATACCTGCACGTGTGGCAAGAGATTCACGTGACGTATCACGTGACGTATCGCGCGTCACGGGTGTTTCACGTGCTACTGAGTAGTCACGTGAGGTGTCGAAGGAGTGGGGTCGGTTGAGGGTGGCGGAACGGGGTGGGGGGACTATTTCTGGGGCACCTTCTTGATCATCATCAGTGCACTCGTCACTGAAAAGAAAAATCGGCTAATTAATCAACTGTGTGCAGAACTCCCGTTAGATTGACTTTATTGACTCTATACGTGATCCCTTACAAGTTACAGTAACCAGTATTGCAATTAAATGGGCTGAGTGTTTTTTAACAGCATAAATCGCTTCCACACGGTAACAAAAGGTTGTAAATTATATTGTATAGTGTTATCTTTATTAGATGTACGTGTAACTTCATTTCCCAATATCTTCAGAATATTTTGTAACTTAAGCCATGGCATGATAAAATCACTGAAGATATGTGCCGTGAGTAGGTATGAAGCTATTAATAATTGTAGTGTCAGAACTGAGAAATCGGAGCCCAGGAAGTTGAAAGGATTTAGCTACTCAAGTGGAAATTATACCAACATTCCTGCCATAGAATTAAAACAGAATTTGATCACAAAAACTGTAGCGTACTTTGAGATAAGAGCAGTAGAGCCCCTCCCAGATTGCAACGTAAGAAAAATAATGACTGCACTAACAATATTTGTTACATGGGCTGACTCCAACTTACTTTTTATCTAGACAGACATCAATTTCAGTGGCGTAACGAAGGGCCCCGCCGAATTTGGGACAATTTAGAAAAACTTAACTACGGTACTAGCAAAACTGTGCGTCTAGAAACACACTTTTTTAGAGAATTTACCAGCGTATCCTCTAAAATCATCTAATTTGTTAAATTTTAGGGAGGGGCGCCAAAAGGGGAGGGGGCGCCAATAGGGGGCGCTTTTTCAGCGGGGGGGGGGGGGGGGGGGGGGGCGCCAACAGGCAACGTTACGCCACTGATCAATTTAATGGTGAAATTTAATGGTGAACAATGGGGGAAAATGGAGAATGATTTTTAAGGTGAATTGAGTATCCAAATTGTAAAATTTCACCATTTTACACCATTTTTCATGGCTAAAGTAACAAAATATTTTGAACTTAGCGGTGATTATATAATATATATGATAAGCTTAAACAGTTAAACATCATAAGCATTTGTTGATTAAAAAATAACTGAACTTATATAGCTTATTTAAAACTGTAATTTGTGTACCTGGGGCGTGCTAGTCAATAGTAACCTAGATTATCAACCTGGCTCTCAACAAACTCAGCCATAACTTGGTAGATAAACCTGTACTGTTCTAGGGTCTGAACCTGCGAGAACACAGGGTTACGATTAGGGAGTTAATATTATTCTGCAGAAATAATCGTATATAATATAGCCATGGATTTGTTTTCTTGTTAAAGTTAAATTCTTGGATTAACATTTAAAATATCACCATGGAATATGGATTATAATACAAATTATATAGCTTTCAATATAATGTTTCAAAAATAAAATCTAGCACTCTAACTGCCTAATTCAACTGTTTAAGCCACTTGTCTAAGTCAGTAACTAGTAAGTTACGTGTCTTACCATGGCAGGTCGTTGGTTACGGAGGTTTTTAACGAGGTCGAAGATATCGATTAGTTTTTCCTGTTGGTAACGTTCGATAGCTGTTGAGATGGCAATAAAAACACCTGTTCTTCCACCTCCAGCACTGAAAGTTTACAGTTTGAATTAAAGTAAACTCAGACACATATTCTCACAATTTTTATCGTATTTATCAGTGTTCTGACGAGCCTAAAAGTTCTGTAGAAACAAACAAGTAATAGAGTACTAACAGACAAACAATAACAAACCTGCAATGAACGACAACCGGGGCATGTTCCTGAACACGTTGGTTATTCTGGACCTGGAAAACCAAACCCAGGATAGCACTGGTAGCAGGGAGGCCTTGCTCGGGCCACGTGTCGAAGTGGTATTGCTGGATCACTCTCTCTTCAGAGGTTGACGTGTTTGTTAGGACTAGTTCTCGGCGCGTGAAGCTGTGGGTCTCGCTCGTTTGTCGGTGCGAGATTATGAACATGCTGAAATTATGGAGTTTTAGTTTTAGAGTACTACGTTTACTACAGTGTTAGGGTACTGTTATAATTGTGAATATTAGATTTCCGTACAATGAAAGAGTATCGTAAACCGTGATATACTAGAGTACACTGTCAATAAATCTTGCAAAGAACGCGTATGACCAAACATTCAATGTGTCATGGATTATATTTTATAATTTAACAGGTTAAATTTCCGATTTACCTGGAAAGAACAAGGGGTTTATCAGAAGGCCAGTACTCGTGGCACTTGGAGAGACCAGGACGTCCACATTCCACAACCTGTGTCAACATAACTATGGTGTTAACATTCTGTTCCCACATCATTCTCCAGAAGTCCAGGACAGTCTCTTCTAGAGGACCTTGTGTTGCTATGTAGGCGTTCCTGGTGAGGGAGAAGAGGTTTAAGAGAAGGGGGAGGAGAGGTTTAAGGGGGGGGGGAGAAGAGGTTTAAGAGAAGGGGGAGGAGAGGTTTAAGGGGGGGGGGGGGGGAGAAGAGGTTTAAGAGAAGGGGGAGGAGAGGTTTAAGGGGGGGGGGGGAGAAGAGGTTTAAGGGGGGTGAGGGGAGAAGAGGTTTAAGGGGGGGGGGGGGGAAGAAAAGAGGTTTAAGGGGGGGGGAGGAGAGGTTTAAGGGGGGGGGGGGAGAAGAGGTTTAAGAGAGGGGGAGGAGAGGTTTAAGGGGGGGGGGGGGGGAGAAGAGGTTTGAGGGGGGGGGGAGAAGAGGTTTAAGAGAAGGGGGAGAAGAGGTTTAAGGGGGGGGGGGAGGAGAGGTTTAAGGGGGGGGGGGAGAAGAGGTTTAAGAGAGGGGGAGGAGAGGTTTAAGGGGGGGGGGGGGGAGAAGAGGTTTGAGGGGGGGGGGGAGAAGAAGTTTAAGAGAAGGGGGAGAAGAATTAAGAATTTTAATACGTTGTAATTGTATTCATGTACTATAAGTTTTATTTTATCATTTACATTTTTGATTTGCATAACTCACAACGAAAACTTAACGATGTTCGAACAAAAAATAAACTGCACTAAGTTATACCTGCTCTGGTAGCCGGTAATATAACTGCCGTTAATGTAGTCACTGCCGTCTCTACCAGCAACAGGTTGCAGCCGAACTCTGGTGCTCTCAAATGGCAATACGTTCGCGTACCTAGAAGTGGAAAGTGTCATTTAATTAATACAGATTGTTTGAAGTGGGTGAGAAATTGATGTTAAACTTGAACCAAAATATATATCACTATGGCTAACTAAGAGTAGACCAGTCCTATATTAAGGATTACGTCACTGTTTATAATGGAAATAAAGAGTCAAACAACGTAATACCGACTAATGTTAGAACGCAAAAGCTGAACATTTCCAATAAAGTTTTACCTGTTTTTGCAGTGATTAACAGGTAGGTTAGCACTAGTAAACAGATTGGGACTGTACTTGTAGTGTATGGTTAGCCTCTGTCAAGGAAAATAGATATTAGTTTAGTAATAAAGTATCAAATTAATCAATATTGGAAATTATATGTCTTGAAAAGAATTCGCTGGGGCTGTGATCATAGAGGAACTCAGAACTCCATATACTTGTATATATTCCAATTAAAATCTGAATAACATTCCAACTATAAGTTTGACTGTACCAACCTTGAACTCAATCTCCATTCCAGAGCTATTGTTCTCCGAGTCTATAACACTCATTGATTCTAACCGGTTAGTGATATCTGAGGGTCTCATTTCAGTGTTACCACAGTGTATTGCTTCAAGTAGCGCCGTGTAGATAAACTTGTATTGCTCCTGTTAACAGGGTATTGCTTGTTAACTCTTGTCAGTTAATAAGTCGGACCCCAGAATGCCCAGATCAATGTTGTCAAAAATAGTGAACTTTATTAATTTTCAATAATTCAACAGTAATTTCAAAAACACATGATTACTTAATATTGCCATCATTAAGTTGACCCCTTTAACACCATAGTAACACTACCCACGATAAAACAAATCCCCACATTAACAAAATAATCCTCCTGAAAAACAAACGTACCCAAGTCTGGACCATCTGCATACGCTGGCTCCTCAGAAGACTAACACAGCCGTACACATCAACATCTCTCTCATGTGCAATCCTCCGTAACATGGTGTCCACCACTATAAACGTGCCTGTTCTTCCTACCCCGGCACTGCAGTGCACTACCACTGGTCCTGGACACATGTTTCGTGTTAGTTTAGTGTTATGTTTACAAGTTTAATTTACAAGTTTGATTAACAAGTTTGATTTCCAGAATCGTTTACCTCGATACAAAATATGTTATATATTCCGACCAGAGCGCCAAAGTAATCCTTTGATGAAACATAGAGATGGAATAGAATCTTGTCGTCAAATCATAGCAATATTTTCTAAATGCATGCTATTTTTGGTGGAATATGTGTGTTGAGTAGTAGTGATTCCATTTTGATAATCCAGATGGTGCAAATTTTGAGTTAAAGGACACCAAATTTCTCTGGTGATGATCCACACTATATTGAAGATCACAGCTTCAGGAGAATCACATCATCATACCTTAGTGCTGTGAGATAACCTATATCAGACTGTATTTAAGACTGACCAGAGTCAGAATAATCATATCTTATCAGTTGCTCTTTGGTTGTTCAGGAGCGTTCATATTTTACGTTATGAGGTTTTTGGCCATTTTTACCATTTCCCCTTTGGAATCCCTTTTTACAGACAGATCTGTGCTTAATATCGTATAATACAAACCTTAGCTTCTTTACTCAAAACATTGTGTAGCTTTCTGGCCAGATACTCGATTATTCCTATAACAAACGATATATGATAAATTTGATATATTATTAGGTTGATCTGAACATCTACCATGAACATCTTCAACATCGCGACATTGACTGTCGTTATTACATTTCTCTGTCTAGCTTCCAGTGGATCTATGTACAGTGATAAAGGTAAGACAATTCAATAGTGGTAAAATGTCTAGTGCAGGCTGTTTCAGATCAAAATAAATTCGGGTCGCTTAATTTCGTCTCTTTTCAAGAAAAGCTATTTTTAGTTTATAATCATCAAGTACCTACATAATATAAGATGTTTATAACATGCATCTGCAATTTGTAATTCCAGCTTTTAAGTTGATGCAGAAATTATCACCAGTCCGAGTGCCTCAATAAAATAATATTCCGCAGGATTTTGTGAAAACAAAACAGGGAGACAATACGGTGTTGGGGAAACCTGGTACGAGGATTCATGTATACTTTGTACGTGCATTGCTGCCAAGATAGGTAAGGATCTAACTTATATTATGAGCCGGGTCATGGAAGCATGAAAACGATGTACTTCGAGGCGACCCGCTTGTGAAAAAAAAGCGGGTCGCCTCGAAGTACATCGTTTTCATATTTCCATTGGATCATGACTAATTCCAATTGTAAGATTCATCACATCATAAATTAGTGATTTTTACACCACGTGGGGGTCAAAATTTCGGGACCTAAAGTTCTTATTCCTTAGCCCAATTTTTAATTTCTTCATACTGGTCAAAACGCAATAAAAGCATTTGACCTAGTAAAAAAGGTTTCAATGGTATATCTCTTACAGTTTTTGCGGAAAGTTGTGTTAAAGTTGATGAGATGGTGTCATCAGTAAAATGGGAACAGATAATGTAATATATCGTCTCGCTTTATATATAGTATTTCTTACATAGTTTTTTTAAAGCTCGATACCACTTCACACTCGAAATCCGAATTGTACTTACTACATACTATGAGCTCAAATTTGATGACCAAATTATCGCCGATAACCGATAATATCTCGATAATTTCTAAAAAGTTATCGATTGTCTCGATAAAATATGTTGGACAGATAATGCAAACCCTACTTCACAGAATTTTTGGCTGACCAACATTCCAAATTTTCCACGTGTGCTAAGTCCACTTTTTACCACCTTCCTTGTTTTTCCAATATCTTTAGTTGTGGACATCGTAGAAAGTTGCAGATAAATCGAGGTTGTTTATCTTATCAATGAAAAAAACGTGTTAAACAATTTTCGCGTCACATTTTTCGAGTCTCGAAAATTTTGTAAGTGAAAAACTTTCAAAGTTTTTCTAAAAGCTACTTTTCTCTGCGTTTAAAGCGATTTCGATCATTTTGAGCCAATAAACAAATTTAAAATTTAGCTAATTAGCGGATTGTCTGAAAATTGTTTAACAAAATATTTTCTCATTGATAAGATAAACACCCTCGATTTATCTGCAACCTTTTACGATGTCCACAACTAAAGATATTGGACAAACAAGAAAAGTGGTAAAAAGTGGCCTTAACACACGTGGAAAAGTTAGGAAAAGTTAGGAAAATTTAGTCAGCCATAAAGGGCATCGAATGGAACAAAAGAAAACATTACAAATTCTTGTGTCAGCAAATCCATTTTTAGACAGATTTGTCTGTACTTATGGATCAGATTAAAATGTTACATAATTACTGGTTTGTGAACCTGTTGTTTTGACAGGAAGAAACAACGTTGAATGCGACAGATTGGCATGTGACGAGACCACTGAATGTGAACCAGATAAACTGATCAAAACTCAGGATCAATGCTGCCCAGTCTGTAAGTCCTCGTGAGATTTAGGATTTATTTATTGTTCGAAATATTTAGTTCGGATGACTCAGTTCTAAGTTAATCATTAATGTACATTATCCGCCCTCCTTTACTAATTGTGAAACGCTTTATCTAATTTCTGAAGGGTACAGCATTGTACCACATGTAATATACACATGTTGTAAAACTTTATTGAACAATAATAAAACAGAGATTTAAACAGACCACACCCTCAGGTGCTCAAACCCGTGAACCACGTGACGGCTGTTCTGAGGATGTTCCCGCAGTGACTTGTATCTCGGACCCTTGTCTCACAGCAAAATGTAGAAACAATCCCGATGCTCGATGTGAAGTTGATAAATGCGGGGAATGTACGGCCAGGTTCTACAATGTGACGGGAGCAATAATCTTAGACTGCCACGGTAGTAGATTTAATACGATTTTCGTGTCTACTACATAACTAATACTTTATAGTCAGAAATGCATTCTTGTTAACATAATAATAATAATTAGTGGATGCCACTGGTTAATAAATAGCGATGCTAGAGCTTGGTGGGCGACAAATACTGAGTACTGACACTCACGAGCACCATCAGTTTTGAAAGGGGCATCCTAAAAAATGAAAAAAAAATGAAAAAAAATGAAAAAATTTTTAATTATAAAATTTTTTAAAATGAAAAAAATAAATGAATAAAATTAAATCAAATTAAAAAAATTAAAAAAATAAAATAATAATAACAGTACATTAGATTGTTTAATATAATAAACTGATAATTGTTTTACCCCTCAGGTAACACAACAAAGAACGGAACATGTGTAACAGTAGCTGGCAACACGCTCTGCAATGTTACGGTTGCGTGGACACCACGTATGAGTGAGACAGGAGCAATATTTGCTATGATAGTACCTGTCCTATTCACTGTGGTAATGTTTGTGTTGTATCTTGTTATTAGAATTAAATTAGGTTATATCAACCCCTGGACAGCTATTAAGGACACGTACAGGTCTAACACTCGTCTATTGTACGCTAAGAAACATTTAGGGAGTGCTAAGTATGGGAAGATTAAAGGAGAGTTACTTGTGACAGAACTTAAAGTGAAGTTTTTAAACAAAAAAGAGACAGATTACAAAGATATAGAAGATAATTTATTGAAAGAGGAAATAATTATACTTAAAAAGAAGGAATCAAAACAATACAGTAAGTTTTACATTAACGGTGAAGTAGCTAATTTATTTAAAGAGGAAATAATAAGTATTAAGGAGATAAAAGTAACAAAAGGTGATGTTAAAGGATTGAAAATACGTAGGCAGATCCTCGGATGTATAACTTTACCATTAAGTTGTGCACATATACTTTTAATTTCACAACTTATTATTTTACCAATATTTAAAATATTCTGGGATATGGTGGACGTTTTGTTTGACACGTATTATTTTTATAAACTAGAGCGTGGTGAGTTAATAGATCCCTTAATTTACAGAAATACTCATGTTAATAATAGTATATTAGGATTTGCATGTTTAGGTGCTATTAAAAGTATAATAGTTGCTTTCTGTTATATTGGTGTTGTGCGGTATAACGAGAATGAGAGGAAGGACCACAACAATGTGGTGAGATATACATTGGCAGCTGTATCTGTTAAATTATTGTTAGAAGATGCACCTGAGTTAATATTAGAATACTTTTATGTAGATAAATTTATTATAAATAACCCTCCTTGGTTTCTGGTAGCCAAGGACGTTGTGACTGCACTAATTTATATTTTACCGGTTATAGGGATATTAAAGTCAGGTTTTAATGATTTTAAGTTAATTAAGGAGAAAGTAGGCAGTTTGTTTGCATATTTACTTTACATTCCAGCAACATTAGCAAGAGGATGTATGAGTTTTGCTATGATATTTAGAATAATTGGAATGATTATCCAGTACATGGGTAGTACTGTTAATGCAGAGTGTTTTGTTGTATTAGATAATGCGTTACAACAGACACCTTTCACATTGGGTTGTTTAAACTGGTGCGATTATACATTACTGGTTCTAACTAGTTTAACTTTATTATCGTCAATACCACCAGCTATGTTGTCTATAACCTTCTTTATCATTATGACCGTATCTAAATAAATTATTTAGTATTTATACATTGATTGATAATTCTGTTCACGCCAATAAGTACCGATATTTTATTTCAATATTAAATGCTAAGTGTTTAGTGTATTAATTATATCCTGAGTGGATGTGTAAGATATCCAGTGCAGATTTTGAAATTGGACTAGTGCATAATATTATGAAGTATGTAATTTGTATTTTATAATGCATTAGATAGTGTTTAGTAGGGAGCATAACGGCTCTCGACAGACAAAGTGAAATAAGGCAAATAATAAATGGTGAAAATTAAATACAAATAATCGACGTTTCGGCACTCATGACTCACTGGCCTCTTGCTAACTTCTAATCAATTATTATGAGAACTGTACGACGGGAAATGTAAACAGAAAAATTGAATATAAACGGGAAAATTAAATATAAAAGGGAAATGTATACAGGAAAATTAAATATAAACGGGAAATGAAATATAAATGTGAGGACTACACTCAGTTTGTTTTTTAAAGACGCCCTTGATAAAGACGGAGCCTTCAAATGAACAAAAATTAAAAACGGCAAGACTTCAAAATTGAAAAATTGAAGACGCCACAACAAGTCTAAAAATAGATCAGATGTAATAAAGCACATTTCATACACTGACCTTACTTCTACCAGCAAAATTAAAGACTGGTTGCGATCAATTAAAGACGGTGAAGCCTTCGCCAAAATTAATCGTCTTTATAAGTTTATAAAACAAACTGAGTGTATATTAAAAAATCTATACGTTTGTTAATTGTTGAGATTTAAACGAAAGCAAATTATTTAGAATTAGCAGCACAAGAGATTAGGGCAACGAACAAATTTGAAAGCCACTGCGATACTGATAATGTGCTACCTACACTCCAATGACAAAACAGAGCTGTCACGTGGGGGTCTTTCCGGTAATTCTATTGGTCGACAAACGTATTCAAGCAGTGGCTTATCGCAACAACGGCTACAGATAAATATAAGATAATGCAAGATAGCGAGCTTATCGTACGGTAAAAGGAACTGCTAATATCAGGTGTTTATTTCTGGCACTACAATTACCAGAATACGTGATGCTCCTATTATACCCAATCAGATAGCTGCATTATTCGAGTTTAGTAAACTATACAGTAGGGCTACCGCTACATTTCCAAGGTTGATAGGGCAACGTTGACACCCTGAGGGGTCCGTTTTGTGTAATATATTGAGAACAGCGGGTATTATTGAGTGTTATCATGGATTTATCAGAGATTGTAGTGCTGCGATAAGCTGTTACGATGGATTGGGCGACATCTGTCCGACAGCGACATCTGTCCGACTCAGATATAATATAATAGGTTATTCGGACAATAGTTTATGTCGGATCCTATCGTGCGATTTTCTTGAAACTGAGTTTCTATGTGCCAAATTTGAGATATCACTTCAAACACAAGAAAATAGTGCTGTCGGACAGATGTCGCTGTCGGACAGTCACAGATGTCTTGTTACCGTTACGATGGAATATGAAATGATAAATAGTCAACTTGGCCAATAACAAATAAGCATATGCCTTCACAGTCAAGTGCATGGTGTCCGAAACTGCTCAATTGAAAAATATTACTTTCCTTACAAAAGTATAAAATTTTAAAATTATCTTTTAAGAAAAAATTTTAATTTTTTTTGGGACCGGTTTTTGGTACACCGGCCAATGTTTACAAAATCATATGATACATAACAATATAATTTTATTTATTTTTTTTTATCTAGACACTTATTTTACTTCGGTGTATTCCAACAGCCACAATGTTACACAAGTGCAACCAGCCAATTACAGGAAGCCGAAGGATCTTTTTGGCCAGTGACGGTTAAGGTAGTGTGTACCATACTTTCTTCGTCCGAGACTTTGCTGCAATGTGCAGCTCCTCATTTAACCCTCACACCCGATTTCTCGAGTATTCGGCTGAGTAGACCGGGGGGCTGCATAGACCACTCATGATCCTTAGCTGAACGTCGACGACGCTCACCCCACGACCAGGCAGTCAGTGGGTTTCGAACTCGCAACCTAACGATTGTAAGACAGGCGTTCTAACCAACTGCGCTACCTGGCCGTATATACGCGAATATGAGAATTGAAAATTATGATGTAACCTTTTACGTTTATTCATTAAAAAAACCAAAACTTTAAAGATTAAAACTTGCATATCATGATTTATTAACATAGTGACAAATAATTTGATTTGATACGGCAGATGATCACACGCACTGTTTTATAAGCTACTTGTGTCGGATTAAAGATTAGTGGGCAGTGCAGAGTCGATAGTATAGTGCTCTGTATCAGTATAGTGCTCTTGTTTGAAGTTAAAACAAATAAACATAACTGAGCCCATGTCTTATCAGCACCTGCTAGCGCTATCAATATGACGCTATCAATATGACAGTGGATGGGCAGTGAAAAATGTGGCATATTTTTGATAGTGACTAGTGTGCTAACCGTCTAGTTTTATTTATTCCTTAGGTAATTCTCGGTAGTTGATTTGTTGAGTGCCTGATCTTGTCGATTTACGTAGCCCGGGTAAATTATGTAATAGAAAAGGTGGCCATTCTTCATTGTTTCCTGAGCTTTGTAGTTCTATCATTACACGCTTTGCTGATTTTTTATAAATGCTTATTGAGAAAATAGAAATAATAATATTTTAGAAAATAGAAAATAATAGAAAATAGAAATAATAATATTTTAAAGATGATTGATTAAATAAATTTTTGTCTTGAAAATATTAGAATTGATCAAACGCATTATAAAAAGAAAAATTAAAAAGTTACCCCAAGTTAACAAAAGTCATTCTGCCACCAGTTATTCATTAAAAAGTTGGGACTAAATCGGAGAAAATTAAATCAGTAAACTAACCGGCGTTATCAGGATTTGTGAGCTGAACTTTACGAAGGAAGGCTAATGTAGCAGTGGCGTAGGTAGGTACACCGTGGTCAGGCCACGCTGTGAACTGGAACTGTATTACCTGAGCAACATGAGGAGTCATCAACTGTAGATTAGTTTAGCAGCAGAAATATTTATAGTTTGATTTGAAGCTGATTGCAGACAGCCAATAGCGCGTGAATAACGATGCAAGAAGAAAAATGAGGAGGAAAAAAGAAGAAAAATGAGAAACGAAGATTTACTAAACTTACCTCTCGGAGTTGAGATTGTTGCTGAAGAGAAAACTTTCTAACAGTAAAGTCTGGCAAGGACACCTCATCCAGGGCTGAGATAGTGAGCTCCCCAAACCTCTGCTGTGTGCCTCTGCTCGGCCAATACTGATGACACTTCAGGATATGCTGGTCCTCAACCAACCTTGTTACCATCACTATCGTCGCTGTCCTCTGCTCCCAAACCATCCTCCAGAAGGCTACAAACGCTTCCGCGATGGGACCCTGAGTTGCGATGTACGCACGTTTTTGTGCGTACCCGTCGATGTAGCTGGCGTTTATGTAGTCGCTACCGGGGCCTGATTCTAGTTTTACACGATTGTAATCGTAGGGCAGGATGTCACTGACTCGGTTCTTCATTGCGTTTTCAGGGGCATTTCCGTGATTGTACGTGTACATTGAGCACATGTCAATACTTTCAAACTCCTTTATCAATCCTGGGAATGGTTACAATACATTTGTATGATACATCTTTATAAGCCGAGCATGTTCAAATTGATATGACTGTCGACTTACATCTGTTGCTTTATTCACTAATCAGAAAATAAAGGGAATACGGAACATGATTGATAACTAATAATAACTTAATTAACTAACTTAACTAATAATAACTTAATAAGTACATGATTGATAACAAGAAACTATTTAACTGAGTGGTAAATTACCCTCGAAGTCGTTAGAAGCCAGGGTTTCGTACACATTAGGAAGGTTAGATATAGAGAGAGGGGGATGGCAGGAGGCGGTGTAGTACGGCTCACACTTCTCCATTGGTAACTGAAAGTGTCAGGATACGTTGTGTAAAGAAGTTATTAGCTGTTGTAAGTAATATAGCTCGTTCACAACTCAGAGAAATTCTGGAACAGTTAAAATTTAACAGATAAAATAACCAAGAAATATTTAAAAACAAAACAAGGACGCCTTCTTACCTGTGTTGTCAGCATTGGTTCATACTCCGACTTCTTTGAGATACTGCTCATATTATGTCTCCTCATTCTTTGTCTTCGTACAATGCACACTATCGTAACTATAATCAATATCAAAACTATGGGGATCACTCCAAACAGGACTAACAGCATTGGACTGACTTTCTTTGGTCCGTCTGTTGATTTTTCTATTATGTTTCCTTCTACCGGTTTCACGGAGAAGGAGGGGGTTGGAGGGGAGGTGTACAGAATTTCGTCATCTTTCAGAACCAGGAATCTGAAAAATAATGTGTTCCAATTTTAAAAGCGAAAGAAGAACAAGTGAAGGAAATGCTGACACAAATAGGATACTTTTTATGGTCATGACGACAAACGCTAAAAAAGGTTATGAATAACAATAGGAACTGTTTTTGAAAAGGAGAATCAAAAATAATATACTAGGATGGCTTTCTGAATAAATAATAATATATCCCCTAATATAAATGAATGGACTTACTGTAACGAGAAGTTTCCGCCACTACTGAGACGATCATCTTCAATCTGAACAGGTTCCTCAGTCAGATTGTCAGTTGTGAAGATGACGTTCTTTGTGGAGCGTCTCTTTCTCTCCGTCTTGTTGTCTAATGTGAGCAGTACCACACTCACCCTGTTCAAGTTTGTGGTGATGGAATTGAAGAAATCTCTTTTAGCTTGGGTACGCAGATTGCAGAACAGGTTCACATTGAATTGTCACAAATTATCTCGTTAGCGAGAAAATGCACGCAAGCTTTGTTTGCAGGTCCTTTATACTGGACACAAACTGACTTAAACAAATAAGAACGGTTAAAGTGAGGTTAGATCGATGAAATGTAAACAAAACCCACCTAATGCCAGGACGTTGGAACACCTCAGGTATGATCTCAGCTAGATTGAGAAGGAGAGCTCCAGGAACTGAAGTGTTAGGAGCTACAGAGGAGGTGTCAATAAGAGGCTCTATAGTGTCAGAGAGGGTTAGTGTGGCAGGGTCTGACCAGGGTCCTTCTCCTCCTGTTAGCCTGGCTCGTACCTGAACACACGGGGTGTTGTTTAGCAGGTGTTACAGACATGGTGTTGTTTAGCAGGTGTTACAAACATGGTATTGTTTAGCGGGTGTTACAAACATGGTATTGTTTAGCAGGTGTTACAAACATGGTGTTGTTTAGCAGGTGTTACAAACATGGTATTGTTTAGCAGGTGTTACAAACATGGTATTGTTTAGCAGGTGTTACAAACATGGTGTTGTTTAGCAGGTGTTACAAACATGGTGTTGTTTAGCAGGTGTTACAAACATGGTGTTGTTTAGCAGGTGTTACAAACATGGTGTTGTTTAGCAGGTGTTACAAACATGGTGTTGTTTAGCAGGTGTTACAAACATGGTGTTGTTTAGCAGGTGTTACAATCATGGTATTGTTTAGCAGGTGTTACAAACATGGTATTGTTTAGCAGGTGTTACAAACATGGTATTGTTTAGCAGGTGTTACAAACATGGTGTTGTTTAGGTGCTGCTAAACATTGCGTTGTTTAGCAGGTGTTACAAACATGGTGTTGTTTAGCAGGTGTTACAAACATGGTGTTGTTTAGGTGCTGCTAAACATTGCGTTGTTTAGCAGGTGTTACAAACATGGTATTGTTTAGCAGGCGTTGCAAACATGGTGTTGTTTAGGTGCTGCTAAACATTGCGTTGTTTAGCAGGTGTTACAAACATGGTGTTGTTTAGCAGGTGTTACAAACATGGTGTTGTTTAGCAGGTGTTACAAACATGGTGTTGTTTAGCAGGTGTTACAAACATGGTGTTGGTTAGCAGGTGTTACAAACAAGGTGTTGTTCAGCAGGTGATACAACACCTGTAAAACATGGTGTTGTTTAGCCTAGCAGGTTTTACAACTTACAGTTAGCCTGACTCGCACCTGAACAAAACACTGTGATACAAACATACTTCTTCAACGAATTTACCGAGAAGACCTATAAATCATCTTCCAACGATCGATATGAGTACTGAGAACCATGACACAGGTACAACAAGAAATACTTATTAGAAGAAAACCGATAAGAACAAAAGAAAAAAAACGGAAGATTATTGGAAACGCTTTGAATTCCTCGTACCCTGACAGAGTACTGAGTGCCAGCGACAGCTCCTTCCACCACTCCGAAGGTGGATTTGTCTGTTATCTCGTGTTCGTTAACCAACTCGTCCCTTCCTTTCAGAGACCCTGTCGTCTCTAGTACGTAAACGTAATCTTTCTCGACTTCTATTCCTGGAATGTTTAAAATTAGTATTGCGTTCTTAAGTTATGCATGATCTTAAAGGTTTTTACTTTAACCAATCGTGGTTGGTGTCTATTATAATAATGAAGGCGTGAGCGTAAGAACTTCTAAAAATGTTTAATATTGACAGTGTAAACCAAAATAATCAAGTTTTGGATTCTTAGTAAGGGGAAAAGTGGCATTCCGTTGGATTCGAATGTTCACAAGGATTTCTCAACGGAATATGGTAGTTAGGACCCCTACGAACATAATTAGACTTGTTGCCAATTTTGTATCTCAACAGAAACACCACTTTTACCACTTTTTACCACCTTTGTACCACCTTTCTGGTTTGCCAAATATCTTTAGTTGTGAACATCATAGAAGGCTGAAAATTAACCTAGAATGTTTATCTTATCAAGGAGTAAAACTTTTGTATCAAAAATTTTTACATTGGACAATCAGCTAATTGGATAATTACCAATTAGTTAATCACCAAAAAAAGTGAAAATTTTTTATTGGCTCAAAATGATTGAAATCGTTTGAAACACGGAGAAATGTAGTTTTTAGAAAAACTTCAAAAATTTTTCACTTAAAATTTTTTTTCGAGACTTCAAAAAAAAAGTTTGAAAATTTGAAAATATTTTTTTTCCGCCAAAAGTGATCGAATTGCATGAAACGTGGATAAAAATGCTTTGCAGAAAAAATTCGAAGATTTTTAGATTGGGGAATACTAAAATCATCAATATTTGAAGTTGGAGTTCAGTAAATCTCGACATATTTTAGTAATTAGGAATAGCTTAGCGGAAAGGGCTGGACCTGAAAAAGGTTAACCACACAATATTAGAGTTTCATAACTAATTACAATACAGCTTTATCAAATTCCACATAAAGAAACATCACAAAAGGACCATTTAAGATCGAACCGATTTTACCTGCTGTACTATCATTTTATTGATTTCAATGATCAAAACCTCTGTCAATCTTGCCAATCTATACCGGGTATCTGAATGTACCGGACCTCTTATTTACCTCTATAATTAGACCCAGTTGTGCAAGAAATGCGATTTCTCACAGGGGTTTCTTTAAACTGTGCACTTTTTGTCACTCTCGCAACTCGCAAGAGGCCTGGTATTATAAGGGGGGGGGGGGGGGGGGGGGGGGGGGAATAACCCCATATGTCATTGCCAGGGTCGGGATAGAGCTGGAGATAGCATTGAAAAGTTGCTAGAAATAGCTAGATTTAGAGTAAACTGGTGGTAGCTGGGTGGTGCTAGCATGGATGTAGCAGAACGTAGCTACACGGGGTTTCATTGGAGTTGGTTATTTTAATGGCCAAAGAGTGCCGGAACTAAAGTTACTTAAGATTGCAGTTTAGGGGCAGTGTAAACCACGGTGTAGTCAGGGACACAGAGCTACAGTGCAGGAGTACTGTAAAATAACAGTGAAAGTGATACAGTCTGCAACAGTAAAACTCCGAAGAAGGAGATAAGATTGTGGCTGCAGAGGAGGAGAGTAGCTGGAACCTGATTGTGTTTGTGTTGAAAGAAGAGGAGGAAGAAGAGTTTCCTGCTCTGGTAACTGTATTTTTGGAAGAGGTGGGGTGAGAACTTATTTTCAAGCGACAAGGGTGGGCTGGAAGCAACCAGATACAGCTATCCGACCTATTAAGATCACCGTCCTGAGCTTAACAGCATTTCATCAGAATCTTATGAAAACAGAGAGACTGACCCACCCTTTTTAGATCCAACGAAACCCTTTATATAAATCGACTTTTCTGCATGAATTACTTCATGGTATCTTCTTATCAAGGCTATAGACCTTGCCGTACCGGATTTATTGATCAAAGTGAGTCTCTTTAGCCCTCTTCTTGTTTAGAGCTTTAGGTAAGTGATCAAACTCTTCGCTACTCGCTCTTCACTGGATCTATCAGGACAGATTCACATCTTTTTAGGTCTCAACCAGCCTTAGTTTTCCTGTTTTCATCATGTAGTACGTTCTGCTACCTCCATTTTAGCACCACCCAGCTTCCATCAGTTCACTCTAAGTCTAGCTTCGTCGGCGTTTTACTGTTGCAGACTGTATCACTTGCACTGTTCTATTGCAGTACTCCTGCACTGTAGCTCTGTGTCCCTGACTACACCGTGGTTTACACTGCCCCTAAACTGCAATCTTAAGTAACTTTAGTTCCGGCACTCTTTGGCCATTAAAATAACCAACTCCAATGAAACCCCGTGTAGCTACGTTCTGCTACATCCATGCTAGCACCACCCAGCTACCACCAGTTTACTCTAAATCTAGCTATTTCTAGCAACTTTTCAATGCTATCTCCAGCTCTATCCCGACCCTGGCAATGACATATGGGGGTTATTCGAGGTATATGGCATAGCAAACGAAGCGGCATGCGCATTCACAATACAAAAAAGCCACAATGCAATGGATGATGGAAGGTATATTTACACTCGCTTCCTATACCCCCCCCCCCCCCCTATAATACCAGGCCTCTTGCGAGTTGCGAGAGTGACAAAAAGTGCACAGTTTAAAGAAACCCCTGTGAGAAATCGCATTTCTTGCACAACTGGGTCTAATTATATAGAGGTAAATAAGAGGTCCGGTACATTCAGATACCCGGTATAGATTGGCAAGATTGACAGAGGTTTTGATCATTGAAATCAATAAAATGATAGTACAGCAGGTAAAATCGGTTCGATCTTAAATGGTCCTTTTGTGCTGTTTCTTTATGTGGAATTTGATAAAGCTGTATTGTAATTAGTTACGAAACTCTAATATTGTGTGGTTAACCTTTTTCAGGTCCAGCCCTAGTAAGAGATAGTTACCCTCTGTAGCACACATTTTGCTATTGCACACATTTTCCGACACTTGTAAAAATTTCACGGATTTTCGACACTTGTAAAAATTTCACGGATTTTCGATACTTGTAAAAATTTCGAGCATTTTCGACACTTGTAAAAATTTCGAGGATTTTCCGACACTTGTAAAAATTTCGAGGATTTTCGACACTTGTAAAAATTTCACGGGTTTTCGATACTTGTAAAAATTTCGAGCATTTTCAACACTTGTAAAAATTTCACGGATTTTCGACACTTGTAAAAATTTCGAGCAATTTCATCACTTGTAAAAATTTGTTATTAAAAGGATCAACATCATTATATATCTCATTTCTCTTTTTGTTAGTTTTACAATGTCAGATATTCTTATTGAAGATGAATATCACAGAGGTTTTGTTATTGGGATCATGAGATTACTTGCTGTACATAGTTATTCGGTTACCAGAGCTTTCAGATTAGAGTTACTCTATCTTAAAGAGAATAGAATTTTAAGAGCAAGGATTTTTGAAAACACTCTTGTTTTTAATCGAGTACCCAATTTAAAAGTAGGTAAAAATTATGTTGTAGTAGGGTGGTTAACAGCAAGCAACCATATTATAGAGGTGAATGATATGAGCTAATATGCAAGAGATCCGTGATTTATCAATTGAAGATCTGCGCACAAAGCTGAAAGAGCAAAAACTCTGTTATGGTTATGAGGTTCTAACAATTTGTGAACGTCGTCGCAAAAAGTTTGAAAAGCGATTGTTCTTACACATGCAAGGAAAAGAAGCACCCACCCTTCATAAATGTGCTGATAATAGGAGTGAATACTTTTTGCTTGATATAGAACTTCCACAGACATGGTATCCAGGAACATCAATACTGAAAAAGACATCAACTAAAAAAACTAAGAAGTCTGTCCGATTTAAGCAAACGGAAATATTTGGAAATGAACCCATCTACCCATACTGTGTTACAAAGTACAATCATAACACTAAAAGCCAACACCTACATGCACCACAATGTTCTAATGCTGTTGCAGAAACGATCGAGGTGTTGGGCCAATACAGATGGATGAATAGAAAGTTTTTGATTGGAAGGGAGGCATGATATATAAGAACTTAGAGTTCCAACCTTGACTGATTGAAGATGCAGACCAGCTCACAATATTTCCAAGAGTTCTATGTCAACTCACCATCAGAATTTCTGAGTTTCCAATGTCTCTTAGGTCAACAGAATCAACAACAATTTTAATCTCTCCAATTTGATCGATAAGATATTTCAAGTGCAACTCATCAAAACTATATAATTCCTTTGTTCGATCAACAGGTTTTGATATGTCATCCTTTGTACCCATACAGATGCAATCATGACTCGGCTCAGTTTTCAACTTGGATTTACTCACCGATCCTGGGAAGACGGCCCTTTGCCCCCAAAGGGTTTTAAAGGGAGTTAAATCTCGTAAACTTTCCTGGAAGTATGGGTTATAGGCCCTTGGTTAATGTCATTTTTCTCTTATAAATACTCAAAACCCAAAGAGTAAATTGTTCGGCAAATTTTCAAAATTTAAATTTATCGGGGAAATTTTAATATTTCTTCAAAAACAGACAAATTCAAAACCCACACAAAAAACCCCAAAAAAAAATATTTCCCTTACCATCCCCCCCACCAAGCTTTAAAAACCAACCCCCCCCGTATCACCCAGGAACAACCCTCAAAAAACCACCCGTTAAACTAAACGGGGTTTGGAGATGGGGGGCACTTTTCAGAGTATCCAGAGTTTTTTTTGATTAAAGGGGAGGCATGTTTATAAAAAACCCAAGTTTTCCAACCTTACCGATTAAAGAGCAACCAGCACAAAAATATTCCAAGAGTTCTTTGCCCAACTCACCACAGAATTTCTAAGGGAGCTCACTCTGAGTTTTTCATACTATCAAAGAACCAAATTTTTATAACTATGTTTGACATTTCCCCTTTTCCCGAAAAAGAGTATTTCCCCTATTTTTAAATTTTTTGGGGAATCGCTCAATAAGGGGTTAAAAAAATTACAAAATTATCCATAAAATATGGGTTTTTGCAAGCAATACAAAGATTTTAACTTACAGATGTTACCCCAAAAGGCAAATGAAAACAGTCCCTGTTAGGGCAAGGGGTTTTAAGTTTCATGAATTCAAGGCCCA